CTTTCATTAATTATGATAATTCAGAAATAAGCAAATGTTTATCAATTCATTAGGTGTGATTATTTATAAATCATATTATATATTTAAAAAAAAATGCAATAAGATGAACATTTTTTTAAAATATGAATTAAGCGACAGTAGAATTTAAATTGTATAAAATAGCGATTTAATCATTTCAAGACATTATTTTCCATTACTTACTGGTATAGTATTGGAATAACTTTTCAAAAGAAAGAAAAGGAAAAAAATTACTTTTGCAAAACTAAAAAATATATAAATTAGTTTTTCCAAAAAAAAAAAAAAAAAAAGGAAAAAGAAAGAAAAGAAAAAGCAAAAAAAGAGCTAAAGCTTAAAAATTCAGAACGATAGAGCAGTCAACATACCAAAATATGAAATATATGATGTGACATGGATGAAAAGGGGCAAAAAAGAGGAAAGAAAAAAGGATTTTAAATAATATTTCTGGAATTTTCTGTTTATAAGTCAAAAAAACCCCAATTAAGAAAATTTTTTCTGCTATATTAAAATTTAAAATGTTTCATTCTAGCTAACTAATAACTAAATCTTTTTTTAAATAATAACAATATTTTAATTATATTAGTTGATAAAATTCTCTATTTTTAATTCTTTTTTTCTTTTGATCGATGAAAAAAGAGAAAAAAAATTTTTTCTCGATTCTTAGTCAGTTTAATTATAACAGTTGCATTTCAGTTGATTAATGATGAACAATGAAAATTGTATAAGAAAAAAAAAAAAAAACGATGTAACAATTTTTTTTTAAAGAATATCAAATTGCCCTATAAGTATTTTTATGTTGCACAATTTTTCATCAAAAAAATATTTCATCCATTTAATTTAAGAATGTAATTTAGCATTCAATCCTCTCTTCTTAGTTTATGATAAAAATTTTATTTAGCTAACATAATTTTCTTCATTTACAGGAAGGCAAATAAACTAATAATGAAGTTTTATTTATAGCAGGAAAAAAAATTTATTTTTTACTAAACTTATAAAATAAATTGAAAAAATTTTGTTCTTGTCCTAGAAACTATATCAAATTTCATCTTCAAAAGCCATACAACCTTTTTTTTTTGAAAGAAAAAGCTAAAATAATAAGTTTGAAATTTGGTAGTAATATTAACATATTAGTGATATATTAATTATTATATATATTATTATTGATGCAATATAACAATAAGCTAATTTGAAAATTGTTAATATTTTAATTTTTTTCTTTCTTACTAATTCATTTATTTTTTTAAAATCATTTTATAAAAAATAGCAAATCATATGATATTTTAGATGGTAATATGATAATTAGGAATGACAAAGAAATTGTGTATGAAATAAGTTCAAAATATGTAATTAGATTATTTATTATTTTATATCAAATATATTAGCAATGCTTTGCTTTTTTTTTAATTAAAAATCATCAATATTTGATTCAATAAAGTAAATGTTAAAGCCAATGAAATGTTAAATTTTAGCAATTAATAAATTAAATATGTAATAATTTAAGTAACAATATTATTTAATAAAATATTCACTGATATATCATAAAAATATATAAATCACATTTCTTTTTTGCATGTTTATGCTTTATTAACATTTAAATTATATGTTAAATATGCATTACTTTTATTAATTTATACTTTCATATATAATATAATTTTTTTTTTCTTTCGCACGAATATTTCTCTAATATTTTCCTGAAAAGTACATAAAATCTCTCTAAATTATCGTCGTTTTTTTTTTCGGATAATAGTAAATAAATTCAAGTAAAAGGTCAAATTTCACAATTTTCAGAATCAACAACCATACCTAATCTTCAATTTATTGAAAAAATCTATTAAATAGCTTATGTATACTTATCAACAATAATTCATTCAAATTCATTCTCCAAAATCAATCGTATATAAACAAATATTTCTTTTTCACTTAATAATTGTTACTCTTTTTTTTTCTTGTCTTTATTTTGTTTTTCTTTTTATTAGCCTTTTAATTATGATTACTATTAATTTAAGATCCTAATTATTACACTATAAAAGAATTTTTTATTATCAACATTTTATCAATTTTTTCATTTTTTAATTCTTGTTTTATTACTTTTTCTTAGTCAATTAATTTTTATCTCCTCTAATTTTTTCAATGCTCTTTCGCAATTACATTTTGCATAATTATACTCTTAAATATACTGTATTTCCAGTAAAATTTAATATTATTACCTTATCATCATATTGTAATTAATTTTATTTAAAACAAAAATAATTTTTTGTTTTCAAATTGTAATTTTCATTTATCAAAAGAGATAAATTATCATTTGTCAACGTTTCTGTTTTCCTTTTTTTCTTTTGTTCTACAGTAATATAAAAAAAATAAACGTTTTCCTTCTTTTTTTTTTTTTTTGAAAAAATTTTATCTTACAGCTTTTCTATTTCACGCTGATGTTATTAAGTAAGATGACAACTTATTTAGAAAGAATCATAAATAGTTTAATTAAAAGTGAACAAAGTAAACATAAGAAAAGATCAGAACTGATGATAGCTAATTGCTGATGGCTACACATTTATGTAGCGAATGAATTAATCTTGACAACATTCATCACTGATACATAAAGAAACGAGTAAATTCTTTATAGGTGAATGAATATGGCAACCATTAATGAACAGATAAAATTTTATCTCATTTTTTTAATAAAAAAAAGCAATAAAAAACTGAGTTTTTTTGAAAGAAAAGTTAAATTTGAAATGTTTTCGATTTAGCTTATCATTTAAAATTTTAGGAAATTATTTTATTCCAAAATTTATTTTGTTGTTTTAAGTGCTATCAATAAATGATTATGATAATTACTTATTGATAATATTTTATTGTTTAAAAAACGAAAAACTAATATAAAAATATTGCAAAAAAAAAAAATCAACATGAAAGTAATCGGATACATTTACATTATTTATATGCCAGTGTTTAATTATTTTATTACATTTATATATTTCAGTGATGAACAGAGAAAGTAATTGATTATATTTCTTTATTTCATTCTATTTACTCATTTGATAATTGTAAAATAATTAAGTGATAAACGTTAGGTTAATTTGTTACAAAAGAAATAAATTGTTGGACGTAAAATATCTGTCAAAAATTTAATTTCTTAATTAATTTCTCTTCCGACATGCCGTACAAAATATTTTTCTAGCAAACTAGAAAAATTTATTGCTATTGATGAAACAGTGGTTACGCCTGCTTCTTCTGCTTTCAGTAATTTTTAAGATCGATTCTGATAAGCATTTCACTTACTTTTCATTCTTAAATTATCTTATTTGTACTCTCTTTTTCTATTTCTGATTATTCTTGATATATTTCTTATTGATTTGTGAAACAGTTTAAATATTAAAATTGTTTTTATGAAAAAAAGGCACAAAAATGTTCACTATTATTGAATTTGTAATAGTAATGACAATAACAATAACAACAATAATAGCAATAACAATAAAAAAAATATCAACAACAATAACACCTGCATTATCTTATTTAATTGTTTCTACTTTTATATGTTAACTACAAATTTGCTAAATAAATTTCCATTAATGCAATCCTTTCTTCTTTTCGTAAAAACAATACCAAGCAAATTTTCTCCATCTTTTTTTAAGAAAAACAAAAATCAGATTTTAAGAATATTTCTGAATCAGATGAAATGAAATTTATAGCTATACGGAATTAAAAAAAAAAAAAAAAAAAGTTAAAAATCTATTTGAGACATATTGTTTATAGATAAGCGAAATAATATAAATAGGCAAATTCTTTGATTTTAATTGAAATTTCATTATATCTTAAGTAGAAGAGTAAAAGAGGAAATTATAATGCGATGCAATATGTTATTGAACTTAAATTTAATGGTATCTAATCAAAAATACTTACCAAGAATGCAAAACAACTTAGTGTAATTAACAAAACAAGAAAATAATATTTCTTTTTTTAGTTCCATTAATAGCATTGCTTTATAGTTTGAGCATGTAATATTGTTTCAAACACTCTGATTAATTAATTTATTAAAAGTGATAATAATGATGGAAATTTAAGATTTGTATCGATGTTGGAATGAAAAGGAATTTTAATAATAATAAGCTATGTTTATATATATACAATTCCGTATGAAAAAATTGAATTTTGCTAATATGTTCCAGGTGAAATTGTATCATTAATCATAATTAATGCATTAGAAACAATATGCTTTTTACTCAATTATTTTTGATGTTTTTTTTTTTTTATAATCTTAATATTACTATTGACATAACTAAAAAAAAAACGAAAGTAAGTAAAACAAAAAAATTTTTTTTAAAAAAGTTGCAAAAAAATTAAAAATTTACAAAAAAAAAAAAATTGGAATTTTTTTGGGAAAAACTTTTTTGAGTAACTTTTTTTAATTACATATATAGATTACATGATTACAATATTTTTGTTAATAGTAACTTTTGTAATTTTAATTTTCTCACACTAATATATTTATTTTTTTCAGTTAATATCATTATTTTTAATTTATTAATCTTCAATTAAAACCGTTATTTTTTAATTTTAATTTTTTTACACTTAATATTTATCTTTCTTTTTCATTTCATAAATTCTCACAGCGTTATTATGATTATTCTATTCATCATCCAATCTAAAAGGCTATAATACTTTTGAAAAAAAAAGTAAACAAATTTCCTCCCTCTTTTTCTCATTCATCTCATCATAACTCACTTTTTCAACTTTATCAGGCCGCAGTAAGTTTTCTTTTATTATCATATTTCAAAAAAAGAACTTTAATAAAAATTTTTTTTTTTTTTTTGTTTTAATCAATAACAAATTTACACTAATTAAATGTAAGAATAAAAAAAGAATTAAAAAAAAGAAATATTCTAGGTTTTATGCAATTTAGTAAGGTGATATTAGCTGAAGTTTTACATACTGCCACGGATATTCATTTAATCTGATAACAACTGATACCATCACTGCGTTCATTCATGCTAACAAATTCAGCGACAACTGACAACGATGATTTCATGAAATGCATCGTTTACACGGTTATTAATAATTCATTTTATTGATTTTTCCCTTTTCTTTTTTTCTTTCGTTTAATTTTTAATAATATGTTTCCTTTTTTTTGCAAAATATTGAAATTATTATTCTTTAATTATTTCAATTATTGATGACATTTAACAATTATTCCTCGTGACAAAGAGAAAAAGAAAGATAATTTAGCAGATGAGTTTTACCATTGATTTTTTTTAAAATATCATTTCTCATTTCCTTTTTTATCGTTTTTGTTTTTTTTCTTCCTAACTTCTACATTTTTAAATGAACTTTTTTTTCCTACTTTATAACTTTTATATGTTAGTACATAATGCATTAGCTATTAACAACAAAATGTAAATAATAGATGGAAATAAATTGAAATTGTATCATATTAACTCTAATTTATTGGAAAATAATAATTAATACTTCTTACTTTTGTCTTAATCAAAGAGATTATTGCAGTATAAACAGCAAACAATTGCATTTTCAGCAAAAAAAAAAAAAAAAAAAAAAATGAAATGAATTAAAATTTAAGAAATTTTATTTTTATTATATGAATATTTTCCTGAATTAATTTTTCATTTTTTTATTTTTTATTCATAAAGATTTTTTTTTATTCATAAAAAAAATCATTCATTTAGTTGTAAAATAATTGATGTAACATTTAATTTCCAAATGATAAAATCTCTTTTCTTTTAATTTTCAATTTTTTGTTTTGTTTATGATTTGATATTTGAAACTATAAATGTTGATGAAATTTATAAATTTATCATTTTATTATTAATTGTTATAAGCTAATGCTATAATAAATAGATTATCTAATTGCTTTTTAATTTTAAATTTGAAGAATAAAATTATATTAGGCAATTCGAAAGTTGTAATAATGATGATAATAAATGATTGTATTAACAATAATAATATGATAACATCAGTATGACAATAATGACAATAGCAGGAAAATATTCATCTATTAATGATAATTATAGTGTTAATATTAATATAATACTAATAATATTGGTGATAATTACAATATTAGTGATATAATAATAAACAATAATAGTAAATGATAAAAATAATAATAAGAACACTAATAATAGTAATAATAGTGATAATTGTAATGTTAACATTAATATAGTAATAACAACAGTAATTAATAATGATAGATTAGTGTCAACAATATATCAGTGCGAACAATGACAATAAAAACAATGGTGATAAATATAGTGTTGACATTAATGCAACAATAGTAATAATAACTATAACAACAACCGTAATAATTGTGATGCTACTAGCATCAATGTGAAAGTAAAAACAATAACAGCAACAATAATGCTTATAATTATAGTGTTAGTATTAATATGACAATAAATATTAATTAAAATCTCTCTTCAAATTCATTATAATTTTATTTTCATTCTATCACAAAAATAAATAGAAAACAAAAAAAAGTATTATTTATCAACTTTTTTTCCCTTTTAAAAATACTACAAATAAATATAATTAATTAATACATTAGTTATTTTAGGATAAATTTCGTGATCCATCAATGGATATTCGTGTAACTGTACCATTTGCAATTGCATATTTACTTATATTCATCTTAGGAGTAATTGGGAATGTTTTGGTAGTATGTCTTACTTTATCGCATCGAAAACTTCAAACAGTACAAGTAGTTAATTATCATTTTCTTTTTCTCTGCTAATATTACCATTTTATCTATGCATGCATAATAATTTATTATTTAACAAAAACAAATAAAGGGTGTAATTTATATTAATGTAAAAATTTGATATTTAAAATAGACATTTGCTATTACTAATAAAAACTATTTACTTTTATTATTTTTACTTATTTAATTACTTATATTTTTATTCGTCATCAGTCATTAACTAGTTAATGAACAATTTTGACAATTTTTAAATAATCTAAAAACTTTTTTCATTTTGAATTATAATATTTATTTAAAATGAATTGTTAATTTTTACATTTCAGAATATGTTTATATTGAATTTAGCTAGTGCCGATTTAGTTGTATGTATTTTTTCACTTCCAATTACACCGGTTGCTAATGTTTACAAAAATTGGTATTTTGGCTCGGCAATGTGTCATGGACTTCCATGGATGCAAGGAATTGCGGTATTCATTGGTACCTTCAGTTTGTGTGCTATATCCGTTGATAGGTATATTATGGTAATTCTACCAACGAGGAGGATTATTAATAAAACTGTTTGTTTTTTCTCTTATTAAATTAAAAAATTAATTAATTATTCATTCCTTTACTTTCTGGACGAAAAGATTTTGATATTAATGAAATGAGAATGAATTTCGCCAGTAATTATTTTGTGAAAAAAAGCAGCAAATTTTAAAATAAGTTTTGATATGTGATTAATTTTTTTTTTTTTATTTAGCTGTAATTTTATTTTCATTAAGTTCGTAAAATTATTTCCTATAAAATTCAATGAAAGCTTATCTTTTTATATTTTTTTAAATCTCATTTCTCATTACTTTTTTTTTTTTCTTTTTTTTTTGTTTTAGCGCTCGAAATATATAACAATTATTCTTTGGACATTATCAATAATTTCAACGCTTCCATATGCAATGTATATGGATCTTATTGTTGTTGATGGAATTTGTGGCCAATTTTGTACTGAAAATTGGCCAAGCTCACGTTTAAGAAGTGTATATACGGTAGGTAACTTGCGCAACATAAATTTCTAAAATAAAATAAAAATATTGTATTCTATTGTATGAAATTACTATAATCTAACATTAATATTCAATTATATTATCAAATGATATTCTTTCATTCTATAAAATATTCTTTCATATTTTAAAATAATGAAATTCAATAAGATTAAATAAGCATAATTTTGAGTAAATTTCTGCTCAGAAAAAATTAATTAATAATTTGCTAATTTCTCATTTTTATCAAATGTTTTTGAAATAAAAATTTTTATGAAATAAAAATATGAAGAAAAAATATAAAATGAAAGAGAGAAAGAAAGAGGGAGAGAGAGCAACAAAAATTGCATTAATATCATATTTGAACATATTAATTGCATTATTTTTATAGATATTTGTTTTTGTGGTACAATTCGTAATTCCGTTAACAATTATGTTCATTTGTTATTATTATATTTTTGCTGAATTGCGAAAAAGGACATCAAAAAAGATTATGTAAAACACTTCATTTCATCCCTTTTTTTTTTGTTTTTCACTTTAATATTAATGTTTATTAATTCGAATTTAGATCAAAATTTAAGATTTGTTTCTTATGTTTATAAAAAATAATATATTGAATAAATATTTTATTTAATTATTCATTTCATTTTTCTTTTTTCTTTACTTTTTATGATAGAATCTATCATATTAACACGTTACAAATAGTGAGCATAAAGTTAATAAATTATAATGAACTAACTAGGCATGCATTCTGGATTAACAAAATCTAAGCATTTAATATTAAACTTAGTGTATACATATAGTATTATGATATTAAATTTAGGTTTTGAATTTAGATTTCAAAACTTTTTCTTTTTTCATTTTTTTTTTTTTTGTTAGATCAGATTTTTTGTGAATATTATAAACGTTAATCTCATATATATATATAATAAACATTTTTGCTGAAAACAATTTTGTTAAAAGAAATAATGGATAAATAGTTTCCTTTAATAAAAGTATTAAAAATATGAGATTTTTCTAATAAAGTTTTTTTCATTTAAAAGCGTAATAGGATACCTGTCAAATAAAAAATTAATTTTTAGGCGTTTAAAAGAACGTTCAATGGCTATGGCATCAGCAGGTTTAGTAGAGAATCCCAATAATAATATACTGGATTGCAAGAGAAATTTTGGTAGTAATGCTTTTAAAGAAAATCATGTGAGTAAATAATTAATTAAACATTTAATATTACTAAAAATAATCAAAAAATTTATTGATTATCGCTATTTCTAAAATCTATTTATCAAATTTTAACACTTTCATTAATTGTGTTTTAAATTCATCACTTTTTTCAAAGCAAATTCCTCATCAACAAATTAATGCAATTTGAAGAGCAATCATATATTTTTTTTTCTTTTAATAAATTTGTTAAGAAAATTTTATGAGAATACTCTTTAAAGAAAATCATATCAGTAAAACAATTGATGAAATAGGTATAATATGATTTTTTTAATGATATAATATAATTCAATATTTTCATCTTTACTTTAATTAAAATTTTTTTTTTTTTTGTAGGATCGTTTACGAAATGAATTATTAGCAAATGCTAGGCGTAATACAATATTACTTGTTAGTATGGTTGTATTATTTGCCGTTTCTTGGCTACCACATAATATTGTTTCATTATTAATGGAATTTGATGAAAGCTTATTTGAGCGACACGATGGTGTCAACATTATTTATCTCATCAATTTATTCACTCATTGGTATGAATGTAATTCTTCCACTTAATTATGCAATTTATTTCTCATTTTTTTTTCATCACATATATATATTGGAAAATATAAGTATAGATCGAATTTTATATTTCTTCATAAAAAAAATTTTTTTTTATTATATTTTTATATTAGAAATATAAGTATAGATTAGATTATACATTGAAAAATGTAATGAAATTTTTGTAAATGTTTTAAAAAAAAATTATGTGTACATTAAAAAAGAAAAAATAATACTTTACATTATATATAATTTCATCAGGGAGTAAGAACGAAAGACAAAAATGTGTTTTTTTTTTTGACTTTAAAAGTATATGAGAAAATTTTTGAATATAAAAAATACACTGTATACTAACTTATTTTTGACTTATGATGTTGCTTTCCATTTATGATTTATGAAAAACAAGAAAGAACGAAGAAATGATAATTTATAGATGCAACCAAATACAAAATATTCAATCTTTTATAATAATAATAATAATAATAATAATAATAATAATAATAATAATAATAATAATAATAATAATAATAATAATAATTGATAGCAATAATGACAATAATAGCAATAATAATGACAAATAGTAATAAATTAATTAATCATACAAGTTATCAATGCTATTAATTTCATTGTATAATTAAATTTTCGTGGTTTTTTTAACTTTTTTAATTTCGTCCATATGCTATCAACCACATGATTATATTAATAGTATAACCATATCATAACTTTTTTTATTTTATTTAGGGTAGCAATGGCAAATAATGTTTGGAATCCAATTTTATACGCACTACTAAATCCGTTATTCATTGAATTAATGGCGAAGACATTGTATAGGTTACGAAGGTTAATCTGTTGTTGTTTTTGTGGTGAAAGAAGCACTACTATACGAGAGGAACGATTTGAAGTTGAATGAAATTAATGTTTCATCTCTTTTACTTCTGACAAAAACTTGAAATGATGCAACAAAAATAAATTGAAAATGATGAAAATAAGAAAATAAAATGATTTATATTCCATCTTTAAATTTATAAATGTGATAATTTTAAAGTTTCTAAAATATTAGTAGATTTAAAAAAAAAAAAAAAAAAAAAATGAAAAACAAAATGCCATAAACAATTTATTATTAATTGCAAAAACGGCACAAAATTAGAAATATTTCATTGAAATTTCAATTATTTGCTTCAAAATTAGCACAAAATCTTGATTTCTGAATAGAATTGTCAAAAAGAAATGCATATTAATTCAAAAAAAAAAAATCTATTTGTTTTATAAAGTGAAGTGAAAAATCGAGATACAAGTAAATAATATGTACTTGAAGTATGAAGTAAAGTGAACAAATGAATGAATTGACACTTTCATAACTTTTAACTTATAAATCATTTTAGAATATATCTCGGTGTTAATTCATAATTCAATAAAAATTCTCTGAAGTGAGGAAGCAGAGATTAAAACGTTCATGTAAACTTAAATACAAAAAAAAATTGAAATTCCAAAGTTTTAACAATGCAATCTAAGTTGCATGCTGCAAACTTCATGCTATATATCTTATAAAAATCTTTTTTATTTATCTACATTAACATTTGAAACAAATTAATTCTTTTCTAATTCAAATAAGAATTATTATAAAAAACGAAAAATTAGTTGAATATATATAAAAATAAGTTGGAAACATTACAAAATGCTTCTTTTTCATGAATATATGAAAATGATGAATATAATATTTTGTCAGTAAACAATTGATCACTTGAATAGATCACTTTGACAATAGGCGAAATCGAACAGATCACTTTGACAACACGAAATCAAACATAACTTTTACAATAATATAAATAGTAACGTATGGTAATATGTGTTTGCAATGATTTACAGAAGTGCAACAAAATTCTTTATTCAAATTAGAAAATAAACCCAAAATCAAAACTATATGAAAATTTCGATGCGTATTGTGAAAAGTTTTATATAATTATTTGAATTATAAATATTGTAAATTACCATTAATGTTCTTCCTATTTTTTCTAAAATAATAAAACTTCTTGAAAGAAAAAATAAAAAATCAAAACGAAATGTTATATATATATATATATATATATATATATATATGACATGTCACATATATATTGCAGAAGTATTGAAAGAAATCAAAATTATTTGATAAGAAATTATCAGACTGTGACAAGAAATTAGTCACAGTCTAATCAGATGCATTCTTACTGTATATGCAAAAAAAATGTTTCCGATAAAATTTTGCAAATGTTCGCATTGATTATGAATGATAAAGAATAAAGTTAACATTTGGCATTTAGTTTTTGAACTGAAATTAACTCAAATTTCAATTCATTCGTTTTTTTATTCGACTTTTCTTAACTAAATTTTAAAATCTAACAGCTTGAATTTTCCAATCATTTATATTGAATTATTTTTCATTTCAGAATATGCAAGTGCCTTAAATTATCATATCTATTTTATTTTGAAACAATTTCTTCAGTTTATTTTAGTGGAAGCCAATTATTTAACTGATAATCCCACAAACGTTATTCATATTACTATGGAAATATTTTTTGTAAAAATTGATAAACAAATTTTGAAGGCAAAAATTTTAAACCTTGTCAAAATAATTTTTATTTATTTATTTTTTAAAAATAGTGTGAGAGCAGAAAATCGAAGATAAAAATAACGTGCTTTTAGTTCAGGTTAACAAAGTTCCATTTATTAGTAAAGATAACTTTTTAATTTCTGAAATAATGATAAGGTTAGGAATGATAACAAAGATAGGCATAATAATGGCAGTGATAATTAATTAATGTAATGAGTCCTCAAAAGAGATATAATTTAGCAACTGATAACATTGCTGTTTTGATAAGAAAGCTTTGAGCAAATATTTGATGTAACTAATATATTGCATAATGATGTTTGATGTGTTGTTTTCCTTTTCCAAATTGTATTATTAAATTACTTTTGTAAAAAAATTTCCGACGATAATTAAGGAGTAAAAGTTTCAAATGATAAATTACAAAACAATGCTTGAAAAGTAAACAAAGTTATAAAATAAATTATGAAGATAAACAAAATTTTAGTTTTGATGAATTTCCGTATTTTTAAAAAACGTTGGGACTACAAAAAAAAGAACGAAAAACAGTAGTTAATAACTTCTATGTCTTTTTTTATCTTTTCGAAAAACCATATTTTTGGTAGATTCGAGTAATTTTTGAAATCGATCAATTTTATTAGTTTAACCTAAAATAAATAATCAATTGGTAGAAGGTAATTAGATATATCAAATTGGTTAATAGACATCATTTTCGGGTGAATAACTTAAGATGCGCAGTCTATAGCACCTCATCCATCAATTTAAATTTGCTTAAAACATAGCGTGTTTGAAATGTTTAAAATTATCTTTTTATGCTTAAAATTCAAAAATTTCTTAAAGCTATTGTTTGGGATCAATTTTAATGTTAATTTAAGACCTACCTTTCATTTCATTTTAAGTTTATTTTACATCTATTATTTTATACTGTCGGCCAAACCAATAATAACATGGATTTTCGTCTAAAATTAGGAACCTAATTTTTTTTTTGACCAATAATGTCAATATATTTATTAGTTTTGATAATGATTGCGACATATCTCACTTTTCAATTTTAATTTTTTGGCTTTTTTCTAAATTTTCAAGATTTTCACTACTCATAGAAATGAAATGTTCTAAAGTTTAATGTTATGATCCGTTATTCTTACTGACTTAATAAATTAACAATCGTTAAATGCGATAATCTTCAATGTTGATAATATAATTGTTGATCGCCAGAAATCTGTGCATTCAGAAATTTAACAAATTCTTCTCGAAGCTGACAATGAGCGAACAATGATTCACTGAAAGTAAATGGTAGAGTATATGAGTGTTATTAATCTAAGTCATAATTTGCATAATTACAAAAAGCAATTTTTAAATTACACATTACTCACAAATCTATGTTTTTTTAATTTGTCTGCAAATTTCCTAGAGCATACAAAATTCGGAAAACGTAAATAGTGCAAAATACGGTTGATGCAAATTTTAAGTGCAGTTTTTTACTAATTTTATTACTTGTCATTTTTTAAATTGATTTAAAATAAAAATTTATATTTATGTTAGGTTTTTTAGTTTATAAACGCTACAGCGATGTTTATATGTGACAAAAGGTGAACCGGTTTTTTACATCTCTGACTACTTGCTATTTTATTACTTGGAGAACCGGAATGAGGTCGGTTTTTCGATTACGGACCAAATAATCACTTCTCATCCATTTCATCGTTCCGGAATGAATCTCGCTGTATTGAAAATAACAAATAGGTAAGGAAACAAAATCTGAAATTGCATCTGTCTGTTTTACTCTGAGCAATGCTCTTCATTTTAATTTTGTTTTTGCATTTCGAAATAATCATTTTCTAATCCATTTGAAAATTGATCTATGGCAATATTATCGTAAGTTAAATGTAAATTTTTATATTTTTGACTATTATCTACAATGTTCGAAACAAAATCTTTGAAATTTCAGTGAACAATTGTAAAGTATTTTCATTATTTCATGACACATTCATACATTTTAGATAAATTAATCAATTTTGTCATACTAGAATTTGCGATATATCAAAATTTACGTCTAATGCATAATTGACAAGCGGAAAAAGTAAACAAGTGTTTCAGATGGTCTAACGATACTTTCAGAAGATCAATTGCCTCACTCAATCGCATATTTCTACTGAACTCTGTACTATTTTTCCCACAAAATGTAACTAATTTTTCCAAATCATTGCATTGAAATTTAATATCAGTTAGATCTTTTAATAAGGATGAAAAATGCTTCTGAACATTTCAGTTTGCCTTTCTTTTCTTCAACAATCCTTAATAGCACTGATTCAATTATTCAGGTCGAAAATAAATATTAATACATTCCAAAAAATTCTGTTTTGCTGTAACGTATTGGAGAATAACTTACTGGAAAAGCGAGATCGGTCCGGTTGCAAAATCCACACCTGAAACATTTATCTGGTAGTATTGGCCCCTTGAGACTGAATTGTGTATGCCTTCTCAAGCAGTGTTATGGATATCACTGAAGTTGAGGACTGTTTTGTGGTGGACAATGGCGAGTCATAGGAAGGCGGTAATCTTTGATCCTGGAGACGAAATCGGCCAAACGTAGCTGCATCCTAAGTAAAAAAAAGTTTCAATGCTAGTCACCTCTGCCGATTCAAACTAGACTTGAAAATTATCTCACAGTTGTTTTTTTTTTTTTATTATTTTGTTTTTTTTATTAAAGTAAGTTCTCTCATAAAACATTGAAAATTCTATGATTTTCTGAGGAATGCTTAGTGTTCTAATTAAAGAAAAAGAATGATTTATCAGCGTTTTTAATCAATTAATTTTGAGTAATATTAATTAGCATCTAATATGTTTCACATCTTGACCAAATTTGGCAAAGTGCTAAATTCAATCAAATTTTTCTTATTATAAATTTTTCCTAGATATTTTAATTTGATGTGTAAAAAGAAGAAAAAATTATAAAAATGAAGACTTTTTTTCTTTTTTTTTTTTTTGCAATTCAAACCGCAAAAACTTATTTTCAATTATTTTATGGTTCGTATTTTCTTCATTTATCGCTCATCAGATTTTTTTTTCCTTCATTTTTTTGTCCAAAATTTTTTAATGAGAATGCAAGATGAAAGAAGATGGATGGAATAGAAGGAAGAAGGCAGAACGAGAAAGATAAAAAAAGGACGTAAAAAAAGCAAAAAGCAAATTGAAAAGTATGGCGTAGCGGTATTTCAATCTAAGAATGGAATGTAATTAGTATTTGAATTAATTTTTATTGAATCTGTAACAAGAAAAGATTAGAAACAGATAATTTTTTTTGATAAAACCTGTAAAATTTCGAAAAAAAATTTATAGCGAACTATCTATTCATCTATTTTTCAATGAGTTTTTACCTATAAGACGATGGCAATGATATTAAGAGATAAAAAAAGCGTAATTTGCCTGCTTAGATCATAAATTGCAAATATCATTTCGCTATTTGATAATTTTTTCCTAATAAGATCAACCAGTAATTAATAAATTCAACATATACAATTGAATTACAGAAAACTTTGTGATGCAATTTTGCAGTTTAATATCAATTGGTCGCATTTATTTAACGAATATTTGGAACCGCGGTATACGGTATCAGGAATGGATACGCGTTTTGTTCACCAATCAAAGAGCGAACAGGTTTTATTCAAATCAACGTTCACAAATAGCACCGAACGGGCGCAGGAATATACTTTTAAAACAGAACGTTCTACTCGCAGTAGTGCAACAATTTCAATCGGTTAGTTTGAATTATTATTAGGAAATTGAAGTTTAATAATTGCATGTTTGAAAATTACATCATTACTTATATTCAGAAAAATATTTGTGTTTAAACATTTAACATAGTCAAATACTGAGTATATTAATTGTTTAATATGATTTAATATTAATATTAATAATAACAAGTACAGTTGGTAACAATTAATTAGTCAAATAATTGGATAATTTAAAGCAGAATGGAAAAGACAATGTTAAAAAACAAATAAATATGTTTGAAAAATGGAATAATTAGCAAAGATCAAGAAAGGAAATAAGAAAAAATATGAAAGTATGATTAATATTAATTAGCAAATAGAAAATATGTAAAAAAAAAAGAAAGAAATGAAAAATGAAATAAACATTGATTGAAATAAATTTGAAAATTTTTAGAGAAAGGAGTATGTCGTGGAATGGAAATGGAATTGAAATTGAAAACGCCATGTGAAATTGTTGAAGCAAATGCTGGCTTTCACAATGAATTAAGTATTGTAAGTATTGGTGAGAATATAGTAGAAGAAGAATTGAGATGGGGTGTTGATAGTACCATTAAGGTACCACCGTTATGTGAAACTGTTGCTGAATTGGTCATTCTCGAGGATAGTCAGACAAGGTTAACGTTGTTTCTTTTTATTTCACTTAATTGCAATTTTACATAATTAATGGTTATATAATGGAAAAAATTTTAGATTAAGAAAATGTGTGCAACTATTAAAGTTGAATTATTTGCAATAATATGTATTAAATGATTATAAACTTAAATTATTATCTAAGAATTTATTCACAACATTGAAAACGGATACTTAACTTGCTGTCAAAGAAGTTATTGACAATTTTGAGTGATATAGTGATAACAAATAACAAATGTGAAACAATTTCTTTTAGCCATTTGTAATAGATATCTACCATTTACAATGTGTAACGTAAGAAATAAAATTTCAACTGGTCAGATTGATTTGAGAATTGACGTCAATATGTGCATTGCGTGCTACATGTGTTGCGATATGAAATAGACTAATTCTGGTGAATGCTATTATATTTCAGGAATTTTGCAGTAGACAGTCGTATTTCTGGCAGAGTAATAGTAACAGTAACGAATTTGAAGGAAAATAACAGTTTGATAACAATTATTGAAGGGAAAGTGGCCGATATCATTCGCAGTATCGCGAATTATTCGGCTCTTGGTTTCACTATCAAAGATGATGTTTGTTCCTTTATTCTTCATCTATTTCTCTTTCATAAATTCTTTTTTTTTCGTAAATATTTATCAAAAAAAAAAGGAGATTTTAAATTTGGTTGCTTTTTTTTGCTATCGAAAAATCATAAGTAATTTGTTTAATTTTATTTAGAAATTTAAGTCTTTAATGTGAAATATTTTACTTTAGTAAAATTTTGAAATTATTGTTCTCAGAGTAATTTCACTGCTAAGATGAAAAAATATCACATGCAAATTACTGAAATTATCTAAGCATCAGCCGTAACTTATTCGATGCTTTAGACCGATAGTTTAAAATGGCACAGCTGAATTTCAAACGTAACCAAATTTGCAAAAAAAAAAAATAACTAAAGTATAATTTACTTTAAAAAAATATGTTAGATTTAAAAAAAAAAAAATGAAAATAATAATAAGAGTAGTAATATTAATTAATAGTAATGGTAATAATTAATGATAATGAAAAATATAAACAGTAATAAATGATAAGTAATAATGAATAGTAATGATAATAAATGATGAATGTTTCTAAAAAGGAATGAATGAATATTATCTCAAATATACTACAAATTCTTCTTCCCAAATATTTTTGTGATATTTTGAACAGAAAAGAAAATGGAACAGCTAGAAAAAAAAAAAATAACCAGATTTCTTTTTTTTTTTGAAAACATGAAGTAAAAAAGCAGTGAAACAATTGCAATCATTGCAGATTGTAACATATACGACAAGAGGTATATGTAAATTCAAATATGGCGTCGAGCAAATTGTCAAATTAAAAGAGCATCCGCTGATGCTACCATCTTTGTAAATATGCAAAAAAAAAAAAAAAAGAAAAAAAAAAAGAAAATGAAAGCATCGATGGTATTATGGGGGGGAGGTGAAAATTTTTAGTGATTTTATCAATAACGATTGATGGTTTCCTTATGATTGTTATATTTGTGCATTTTTCCTCAAATTAAACATTAATTGATCTTTTAGTGATTTTATTATCATTTATAGTTGTTTTTTTTTCTTATGGTTATGAATAAATTACAGCATTGAACATTTTATAATCGATTAATCAATGCTTTCTTTCTAATTAAATCAACGGTGTTTTTTTTTTTTTTTTTTTTTTTTAATGTCAAATATAAGTATTGCTCATCTTTTTTGTAATTCAAAATTTAACAAACATTTCATTTGGAAGTTATCAATTGGCAAATTATAATTCATTGGAAATATGCATTGCATACTTAATGTATATCATTTGTATGCCATTTTTTTGTTAATCTATCAATCATTATATTCGTTATCTTTTTATTCTATGCATAATTTCTTCTAATTTAAAAATAAATTTAAATTATAAATGTTTTTTTTTTAATGTTATATTTCTTCAATTACATTATAAATTATGTTATTCTTTTTCTTACTGATAACAATTTATAACTTAGTTATTCGACAGATTGTTTAATTAAAATTTTCATTTATATAATTTTATTTATATAATTTACTATGTCCACTAATGCTATCTTCCTTGATGGAATTTCTATTAATAAATTTGAAGTATTTATTCGTGAATTGAACGAAAGAAAGTGTTTGTACAACGGAAACATTAAGAATACAATGATTGATATTCATATCGTACAAATTTCGACTGGATAAACAATATTAGTGCCACATGCAAATGCCTTTCATCAAGTGTGCATATTTTTGATGAATCATAATTTGTTCATTGTCAACTTTTCGATAGAATTTTTAGGAATTTTTCAATGTCAAAAAGTCAATTATTGTAATATTGACATTGAAATTTATCTTATTTATGAAGAAAAAAAGATTAGAAGTTATATAATCAATTCATAAAGTATGAATTTAAATTAAAAATTGATTATAAATAAAATTATTTATATAATACAATGAATAAATGTATAGTGCATATTAATAAATTTTAGATATTCAATTAAGATAATAATGACATAATGCAAATATGTGAAAAGTGAAATTCAAATTTTTTTGTTCGCCAATTTGATTAGCTTTACTGTGTGATGGAGAAATTGGTTATTTGATGTGAATAATAGCTAAAAATGTTTGGCATTATAAATATCAATGAATTTGTTAGTGATATTGCTATATCTCATATGGTTACACTTAATTTTATTTAAATATTTTCCAATAAATATTTTTTTATTTAAATATTTTTCTATCTGATTTATTGCTAATTGATTTATTCATACTTAAAGTTTATTCATATTTTGTTTATTACATTATTTTATACATTTGTTTGCATATACTTATGCAATTTATTTCGTTCTATTTGTTACTTGTATTAATTTAATTTATTTCATTTTTTTAACTTAGATGATTGATAAACGAAATATGTTAATGAATAGATCTTTTCCAAAAATGACAAGAAATTAAATTAAGCAAAAAAATATATGATGATAATGAAGTAATAAAGAATACCCCTACTGATTTACATGATTAATTAATTAATTATTTTATGAATACGATTTCTGGTGTTTCTCGAAATGAGTCAACGAAACGAGGAAGAAAATTTCTTCTCAAAACAATATATATTTTTGTTTAACTAGTTAATCATAAAAAAATTCCGATTATTAGAGGATTTAGTTAAAAAGTTTAGCTATCAGAATGATCGAAGAAAAAAAAGTAAACAATTTAATGCATAACACTTTTTTGTTGGTTGAATTAACTAACCTCTTCGTACAATAATGAAAATTAGAATACAATTAAATAGGAATTACATTAGCTTTGATTTTATTTTTTACTCTAATTATAATAACATTTCGCTATGAAGTATGATTAAATTATTCATTGAATTATAAAGTATGACTAAATTATTCATCAAAAAAAAACTTATAATTCTGATCATTCAGTCAAAGAAATTAATGCATTGATTGAAGCTTACCTTATTCCATCATCGTTTACATTAACGGTTATTAATCATACCATTAGCGCCTGTGTAAACATATGAAAATTTCGCTGAATGTGTCTCATCAATAAATCAATCAATAAATATATGGAAGAATTTTGGATTGAAGAGAATGTTAAAAAAGGAAAAATAAGAGTTAGAGTTAGTGTGTTCTTTCATCATTTCAATGCTTATCCTTTGTAATGCTCCACCCTTTTTGAAATCTTCTTGAATCATACATTTGTATTTTTCATCAATAAATTCAATAATTGTCACTTAATTTTTCATCTCTTTGCTTCTTTCATAACTGTTATTTTAATGATTTAAAGTTTAATTACCATTGAAATTCAAATAATGCGCGCACAGGCATACAACGACACATATATGACATTTTGATGTACCTAAATAGTTTGGCCATTTTAAGCCTCCGATCTAATCGTCTTAACGAAAATCTTGTTTTAAGTTTGTGTATTTGTACTTAGCTGTGTGTGTGTGTGTGTTTGTGTACTGAAGAAGAGTTATGGAGCAATCATATTTAGGTATATTTGGCTGATATTCTTTTTTATTTATTACTGAAAAATCATTTTATTTAATTTTAATTTCTCTCATTATTAACTTTCTTAGTGTAATGTGTTAGTAACTTTCTTAGTAAAGCAAAATATTAATCGGTTTTTACTGTACGATATTTAATTTTATTTCACTGTAAATGAGAAATTTTTATAGTAAATTAAAGGTGAAGTTATTGTGCGCAGATTGGCTGTAACCAATTTATTGCAGTTAAAGCTAATTTACTACATCTAAACTAATTATTTACTATATTCTGTTAAGACATTATTCTTATAAGCTATTTGCGCTTCTTTATCAGCACTAAGTTGCGGATTATGCTCTCATTTTGTAGTAAGTTTTATTCATTTTTTTCTGATAATTTAAAAATTTGCTGATTATTAGGCTGTTTTTTTGCCCTGGATAAAATAATAACCTTGACGATCAGATTGCAAATATTCAGAACAATGATTGGATTATTTGCATTTTGCTGGATGTTCCTTTAAACCTTAATCAAAGCTGAATTATACTCCTCAACTGAGGGCAGCAATTAAATATAATTAATCAGTGGTTCAACAGTTTCTTCTTTGTGCAATTTATTAGCCGGTAGAGTTAAAATACAAGTAAATAAAGGATTTATAGTTTTTATTGAAGCAATTATTGCGCTTTTGGCAATTAATTATAAAATAAATGTGAAATAAAAAAGATGAAAAAAAAAAAGCATTGATTTATTAAAATGAAATTCTTGTAAAAAAAGAATGGAAAATGAGAGAAGAAATAGAAAATTGAATATGAATAAAATTAAATCAAAAATCCTTGCAAAGGATGAAATTCATTTCGAGTTTAGTTATTTAAAACACAATTTTCCAATTCAAAATTTTCTGAGCAAAAATAATTGTCGTAATATGTAAGTTAAATTTAGTGTCCCTATTATTATACCTGTATCGATTACTTTTATCCTATCATAATTAATTATATTGATCAAGAATACAGCATCAAATGTTTGCATCAATGGCATTTAATTCAACATTTTCTCTTTTTTCACTTTTTTTTTGACTCTAGCAGAAAAACCAAATGTAAATTAGCAGAAAGCTTAGTTATTAATATTTTTTTAGTCTAATGTTTAACATTTATTTGGCTTTATATTTAATATCAATAATTTTTTTAGATTTAATGCTCAATTGATAATAAATTTGCACTTTTATGTAATCGAAATAAGGCCAGGACAATAGTAATTTAATTAAGTTAACGGTATATGTTAACTAAAAATTTTGCTTGAATACTTCTATTCAAAAACAACCAAACTTTGGGATTATATGGCGGTAGCGCTGATGGAAGCGTTCGAGAAGTTACAGGTAGTAGCAGTAGTTGACCTAACATTGATATCAATACAGCAGTATATACTAATTTTTACTCTTTTCTTAAGGTGTTTATTACTTCAAATACTTTTATAATTTCTCCTAAATGTTTTGTATGCCTTATATCTGATTTCAATCTTTGCCCGTATCTCTCTCGATCATGATATCCAAGGAAATACTCTTCTCAAATAGCTAAACTGCTGGAGCAAACTTGACACACCTGTGCTGATGTAAGGTTAAAACATTTTTTGTGGTGCAGGTTGATCGAGAATACCTGTATTCTTTAAGCTAATTCGTCTAAAGTTGAATGAACTCACAGTGATACGATTCGATATCAAATGTAAATGTTATTTTCTTCACTGAAATATTATGTTAAAGAAGATTGTGATTAGAACATATTTTAATTAATTTAAACAGACATCTTAATTGTTCCAAGATTTGTTATAGTCCTTGTTTGTTCACAATGTCACTGTTTTCTTGAATTATTAACAAATTGCGCATAGAATCTTTTACTCTGTTTCCTACACATTTTTTACCTAAGAATAGAAATCGCATCTGCGGTGTTTTTAATAGACTTTGCTTCCAAAACAAAAACTTTCAAACTAGAATTTCTGAAAGTAAATTCTCTTACAACACATTAAAAAATAATATTCTAAGATTCTTTGAAGAATCCTTGGTGTTCTCTTTAAGGAAACACAAAGACTAATTTGAAGAAAACAATTAAGAGATTCAGGAATAGGAATTGTTGACAAAGAACAGAATTGCTCAGTGCTTTTGCCATGTAAGAATTCAAACAGAAATTTCAATACGTCTAAACAAACTTGGCGGATGAAACTTAACTATGAATAGATCCGAACATTATCAAAGAACTGTAAAAAGTCTATGAATCTATCTTTCTCATAAATAAAACTTCTATCCTGAATAGATCATCTGAACATTTTCAAATTCCTTCCAGTTGTAATCCAAGGAGTAGCAATTGACAACCAGTTTAGTTATATTTACAGTAGCTGCTGTGGAGAAGGTCGTATAGACAAAGATCATAAGGTCATAAAGTACAAATAGCTTGGCTGATGAAGGCTTATCTAAAGTTTGAAAGTATGAAAGCCAAGCATTTGAAAAGACATTAAGCCGAGCTTGGCTTTTTATGAGTTATTGAGATGAATTACACTTAGATCTCCATCGATCAGTTGAAATGAGAAACTGTTCAAAGTACAATGATATAACTTTACTCTCCTTGCAAGAGTGCTTTTAAAGAAGTTAGTATCCGTTATGAATGTTCAAATTTGTACCTGAAAGCTATTAATGTCATTAATAAGTCATTAAATGATTAGTTAATGATATGTAATTTTTATCAGCTTTCATCACTAATAATCATAATAGTTAATTCATATCAATTTTTGTATTATTACCATTATCAGTAATATAGGCAAGTTTAGAAAAGGTTAGAAACTATCAAAGGTTAAAGATTGAGATAATGACAAATTCTAAACTTGCTTATGCTCCAATCGTAATTTAAGTTTGTCAAGTTAATCAGGCTGCAATGCATATGTGAAAAGAAGAAGCCATTTCATCATATTTTATTAAAAATAATTTTGAAATTTTATTAGTTGTCATTAACAAAAATTATCTATCAGACTGTTTTCTCTATAAACTATTTTAAAATAATGAATGCTGCCAAATTTCATTCCTTTAATTTAACCTGTCAAAATTATTTAAATTGTACCACTAAACTTCACAAATCAAGTATTATTTAAAAAAACATAAGTAACAGAAATATGACTCAAAAGTTCAAATAATTTTTCCAAAATTTTGCTAAAAATATTTTTTTAATGTCGCATTAATTTTTTCAATAAGGTAAAACGGAACAATGAAAAAGTAATTCAAACATTTTTGCATTTTTGAGAACGAATTAGTACGAATCATTATTTTAAGCTAAAGAATTCGAATTATAAGGAAAATTATCGGCAATTAATGCAAAAAATTGTTATGAAAACAATATTAATTAATGTGAGTAATAATCAAAAACAATATTTGACTAACTAATTAATTAATTACAAAATTTGAATTTAATGTTATAATCAAAACTTAAAATAGAAGAATATAATATATAAATGAATGCACATGCGTTAGTGTGTATCCTACATTAAAGTTTTATTTGAAAATTCAAGAATAAAGTATTATAATTACAAATTGGTTTGAGAAAAGACAAATCAAAAATATTTTATTGTTTTTTTTTTTTTTGAATTTATGAAAATCTTCTAAAATTAATAAGGTTAAAATTATTGTTCTGATTTAAATTTATGCATATGATTGAAATTTCTTTGTTATCAATCTTTAATTTTAAAAATTTCAGATGATGAGCGTAAATTGGATCGATCAATGGTGTCATCACATGCTAATATTATGGCTGAAACACAGAAATCAAAAGATTTGGTGGATTTAGAACTGATCATTCAAAATTGGGCGAAACAAATTTTTGAAGTTACGAAAACTCGCGACGAAGCTAAAATTAACAAAAAATATCTCGAAGTATAAATTATTATTTTGTTTTTTCAAAATTTTAAAACAAACATTAAAATTGACAAACTTTTTTTCATGAGAATTTTTGATAGGAAAACATTCTTTCTCCGTTTTTTATCGTTGACAAATATACTGTAATTGAAATTCGTTAACTTATTTTCACAGATGACAGAAACAATCGATTTGATTTATTTTTTGTTTTTATTTTTCTTTTCTTATACTACCATTTGATTATTATCTACCGCTTTCATTTTAAAAAATAATTCTTTGATAAGCGTAACGAATAATTATACTTAATAGAAATGCTAATAATCAAAATGCTACTTAGTAGAAAATGCTAGTATTACAATTAAAAAAAAATAAAAACGGTTAAACCATAAAAATTATGGTGTCAAATTTTTGTATTTTTTCTTTTTTTTTTTTCATAAAATTAGATCTTGAAATGATAAATCTGATATCATTAATGTTTATATTATCAATTAAAACTTATTAACTGCTATTTTAACGAGGTTTCGTATGAAACAAGATTATTATTGCAGCAATTTTCTCAGACTAATAAATGACAACTTTTATTTTTAATTATAGAAAAAATAATTAGAAATGAAACATACATAATTGGATGATACTTATCACTTCTACTGTCTTTTATATTTTATTGAGATTTTTTTTTTTTTTTTGCACATTTATTTTAATAAATGAAAATTTGATGAAAATTGCATCGCCACTAAAAAAAAAATCAAATGGGTTATGTATATTAGCATATATACAATCAAGTCGTTTTATGGTTTAAAATGGAAATTTGTTAAAATTTTAAGTGATTTCGAATTTGAAAAGGAAGTGGAGCAGAGGATAGAGTTAGAAGGTACATAAAAGGCAGGTATGAAGGTGAAAGAAAAGATTATTTGATGGAAAATTCGACATCATTTTGCAGATTTTCGTTTTCTTTCCTTTTTTTTGCTCTAATTTAAACTAAAAAAATTGAAAGCAACATTCGAGGATTACGAATGGAGAAAATTATTGAATTGTTAGTAAAAGTTAACTTTTAAAGAATGTCAACATTTTTTAGACTAAGTGGAAAAAAAAAAATGGAAAATATATGAATAAATTGGAAATGCTTTTCATTCAAATAGGTTAAATTCCTTTCAATCTCAGAAAAAGAAAAAAATTTAACCCTCTAAAAAAATGAAAAAAATTCTTTCCTTCTTAAATAGATAAATAAATTACTAAATTAAAAGTTTTTTTTTTTTCTGCCATCAAAAATACGTTATAAGAAATATTTTTGTTTTGTTATTCTTTTGAAATAGGATTTTTTCAATATTTTATGATTTTAAATACTTTTTTTCAATAACATATTCATTCACTGATGCTAATGAATGATCGTCTTAGCTTTGCCGAACAAAACATCTGGCGCAAATAGCTTCTTTAAAAAAAAAAAAAAAATGATTTAAATAAATGAAATGAGAATTTGTACTGTTTTTATGGAATTATTTGAAAACAACAGCAAACAGAAAAAAAAAAAGAAACTCCAAAATTTTGCTAAAAAAATTTTGTAGAAATTATTTTTATGTGGAAAATCTCACATCTTAATTTTTTTAATTTTAATAATGGTGCCGTCCTTGATTTATTATTAGACGTGCTAGAGTAAAAGGTCAACAAACTTTTCGTTTCATTGATTCGCTGATTCATATCAACACGAATTTACTATTGACCTGTAAGTCTCCCATTAATTCAACAGTATTTTAATTCAATTAATTGATCAATTTCGCATGATAGGTACTAGAAATGTAGTATTAATTAGTATCTAATATGTTTCACATCCAAATTGACTCTTGATCAAATTTGGCAAAGTGCTAAATTCAATCAAATTTTTCTTATTATAAATTTTTCCTAGATATTTTAATTTGATGTGTAAAAAGAAGAAAAAATTATAAAAATGAAGACTTTTTTTCTTTTTTTTTTTTTTGCAATTCAAACCGCAAAAACTTATTTTCAATTATTTTATGGTTCGTATTTTCTTCATTTATCGCTCATCAGATTTTTTTTTCCTTCATTTTTTTGTCCAAAATTTTTTAATGAGAATGCAAGATGAAAGAAGATGGATGGAATAGAAGGAAGAAGGCAGAACGAGAAAGATAAAAAAAGGACGTAAAAAAAGCAAAAAGCAAATTGAAAAGTATGGCGTAGCGGTATTTCAATCTAAGAATGGAATGTAATTAGTATTTGAATTAATTTTTATTGAATCTGTAACAAGAAAAGATTAGAAACAGATAATTTTTTTTGATAAAACCTGTAAAATTTCGAAAAAAAATTTATAGCGAACTATCTATTCATCTATTTTTCAATGAGTTTTTACCTATAAGACGATGGCAATGATATTAAGAGATAAAAAAAGCGTAATTTGCCTGCTTAGATCATAAATTGCAAATATCATTTCGCTATTTGATAATTTTTTCCTAATAAGATCAACCAGTAATTAATAAATTCAACATATACAATTGAATTACAGAAAACTTTGTGATGCAATTTTGCAGTTTAATATCAATTGGTCGCATTTATTTAACGAATATTTGGAACCGCGGTATACGGTATCAGGAATGGATACGCGTTTTGTTCACCAATCAAAGAGCGAACAGGTTTTATTCAAATCAACGTTCACAAATAGCACCGAACGGGCGCAGGAATATACTTTTAAAACAGAACGTTCTACTCGCAGTAGTGCAACAATTTCAATCGGTTAGTTTGAATTATTATTAGGAAATTGAAGTTTAATAATTGCATGTTTGAAAATTACATCATTACTTATATTCAGAAAAATATTTGTGTTTAAACATTTAACATAGTCAAATACTGAGTATATTAATTGTTTAATATGATTTAATATTAATATTAATAATAACAAGTACAGTTGGTAACAATTAATTAGTCAAATAATTGGATAATTTAAAGCAGAATGGAAAAGACAATGTTAAAAAACAAATAAATATGTTTGAAAAATGGAATAATTAGCAAAGATCAAGAAAGGAAATAAGAAAAAATATGAAAGTATGATTAATATTAATTAGCAAATAGAAAATATGTAAAAAAAAAAGAAAGAAATGAAAAATGAAATAAACATTGATTGAAATAAATTTGAAAATTTTTAGAGAAAGGAGTATGTCGTGGAATGGAAATGGAATTGAAATTGAAAACGCCATGTGAAATTGTTGAAGCAAATGCTGGCTTTCACAATGAATTAAGTATTGTAAGTATTGGTGAGAATATAGTAGAAGAAGAATTGAGATGGGGTGTTGATAGTACCATTAAGGTACCACCGTTATGTGAAACTGTTGCTGAATTGGTCATTCTCGAGGATAGTCAGACAAGGTTAACGTTGTTTCTTTTTATTTCACTTAATTGCAATTTTACATAATTAATGGTTATATAATGGAAAAAATTTTAGATTAAGAAAATGTGTGCAACTATTAAAGTTGAATTATTTGCAATAATATGTATTAAATGATTATAAACTTAAATTATTATCTAAGAATTTATTCACAACATTGAAAACGGATACTTAACTTGCTGTCAAAGAAGTTATTGACAATTTTGAGTGATATAGTGATAACAAATAACAAATGTGAAACAATTTCTTTTAGCCATTTGTAATAGATATCTACCATTTACAATGTGTAACGTAAGAAATAAAATTTCAACTGGTCAGATTGATTTGAGAATTGACGTCAATATGTGCATTGCGTGCTACATGTGTTGCGATATGAAATAGACTAATTCTGGTGAATGCTATTATATTTCAGGAATTTTGCAGTAGACAGTCGTATTTCTGGCAGAGTAATAGTAACAGTAACGAATTTGAAGGAAAATAACAGTTTGATAACAATTATTGAAGGGAAAGTGGCCGATATCATTCGCAGTATCGCGAATTATTCGGCTCTTGGTTTCACTATCAAAGATGATGTTTGTTCCTTTATTCTTCATCTATTTCTCTTTCATAAATTCTTTTTTTTTCGTAAATATTTATCAAAAAAAAAAGGAGATTTTAAATTTGGTTGCTTTTTTTTGCTATCGAAAAATCACAAGTAATTTGTTTAATTTTATTTAGAAATTTAAGTCTTTAATGTGAAATATTTTACTTTAGTAAAATTTTGAAATTATTGTTCTCAGAGTAATTTCACTGCTAAGATGAAAAAATATCACATGCAAATTACTGAAATTATCTAAGCATCAGCCGTAACTTATTCGATGCTTTAGACCGATAGTTTAAAATGGCACAGCTGAATTTCAAACGTAACCAAATTTGCAAAAAAAAAAAATAACTAAAGTATAATTTACTTTAAAAAAATATGTTAGATTTAAAAAAAAAAAAATGAAAATAATAATAAGAGTAGTAATATTAATTAATAGTAATGGTAATAATTAATGATAATGAAAAATATAAACAGTAATAAATGATAAGTAATAATGAATAGTAATGATAATAAATGATGAATGTTTCTAAAAAGGAATGAATGAATATTATCTCAAATATACTACAAATTCTTCTTCCCAAATATTTTTGTGATATTTTGAACAGAAAAGAAAATGGAACAGCTAGAAAAAAAAAAAATAACCAGATTTCTTTTTTTTTTTGAAAACATGAAGTAAAAAAGCAGTGAAACAATTGCAATCATTGCAGATTGTAACATATACGACAAGAGGTATATGTAAATTCAAATATGGCGTCGAGCAAATTGTCAAATTAAAAGAGCATCCGCTGATGCTACCATCTTTGTAAATATGCAAAAAAAAAAAAAAAAGAAAAAAAAAAAGAAAATGAAAGCATCGATGGTATTATGGGGGGGAGGTGAAAATTTTTAGTGATTTTTATCGACAGTTTATGTATGAATAGAAAAAGTGTTTTCGTTATTATTTTTTTCCTTTTTCATTTTTTTTGCCGAATTCTGGAAATAAAAAATCTTAAAAATAAATCAAAAAACAAAAATATACAAAAAAACAGAAAAACGATAAACAAAAAAAAAGGAAAAAATTCTTCTAAAGCGACGTATATGTGTTTATTTTGTTAAATAGTTATCGTTATCTGCTTATCTTTCCTTTGCTCTTTTTATGTTAAATGTTTGTCAGTTTTGTTAAAAATGATTGAATTAAAATTTTGCAAAAAAAAGTGAGAAAAAAATTTATGAAAGCATATTTTAAACAAACAAATGTTATGGTTTATTTTTTTCTTTTAGTTTCTTCAAGGTTATTATTTTTAAGTAGTGCTTCACGCTATTTTAACTATTATAATAATTTAATTGCTTTTAAACGTTTATCTTATCATTATGATCTTATATGTACATTTTATTAGCTTATCCTGTCATCTTATAATTAATAGTGTAAATTAATTTAGTAACAATATGAATAATTTCTTGTGCTAATAATTTTCTAACTTACCATTATGTTTTCATTGTCATCTTTAATAAGCTTAAACTTCATTCATTGCTTATTATTGTATTTCGTTCTTATATTTGTTATCAATTCAATTCGCTTGATCATTGTCGGAAATGGATAGCAATAAGTTGAAATTTAGGAGAAGTCAATAAACCGAATGCTTTTTAATTGGATTTTAAAATTTCATGGAATTAATAATTATTACTTATGGTAACAATGGCAATTAATTTATTGGACATTACTCACACAATTTTATTTATTATCATTTGTGACTAGTGGTGATAAAATTTGAATTTTATACTTAAAGTTATCTATTGTATGTTTCATCCTCCACACTCTTAATTCATTTCCATTTTTTTTTTTGAATTAAATTTAATATTATTACTCAGCGATTTTTTTCTTGCGTTTTTAATAAATTGATATTATTAAATTTACAGCACAATCAATTTAATTGACATTAACCGAGCATGTGTTTCTTCTACTGTTTACATTTGTTGTATGAAAGATTTTAAAATGTTTCATTAACATTTGAAGTAATAATCAATTTAGATAAATCTTGTTAAGTAATCATTTATCAGTAATTCACTTCCTAAAATATGTAGCATTTTTTTTTTATTTTTATGATTGTAATACATCCTTTTTTGCGCCATAAAGAAATATCGATAGATTGCACACTTGAATAAATAATACGGAAATGTATCTGTTGTCACATCAAATAGTTAATTATATTAAAATAAATTAAACTGATAAAAAAATAAAAAAATACATACAATGTAAATATTTCCAGAAAAAGTACTAATAAAAATGACACATAAACGATTAAACTGACCATTGTGACCATTTTGAGCAATAGTTGCTCAATAAATTACTGGAAGTTTTGCATATGAGCGAGATTAATCTAAGATAATAGCTTGAATGTTCCGGAATATTGCAAATTGCTTATGCATTCAATCAGATTGACAATATTTTGAGACTGATATTTCCATAAACTAAAATTAACCAATTCATTATTTAAACATTGCTTTCTTTTTGAATGTTACTTTAAAAGTTATCAATTTGATAGATTAATTCTTGTAGCGTGCAAATGCATTTTAAAATTGGCAATCTTCGTGTAATTTTTCTCTGCAAACATTGAATTCATTTCAATTTATACTTTACTGAGATTAAACTAATTTGTTTAACTTTCCGAAATATTAGTAAATTCATATTCTGTTATTAGCGTGCCTCTCCCGTAATCTAAAAAAAGGCAGATTCTAGGTGACTTTTAAAACTTTCACTCTTTTTCTCTTGGCAACTTGTTAAATGCTGTGTTGCTTCCTCTCTCTCATCAACTATTTCCGTTAATTCGTCTCATCACCATATGAAATTTTTTGCATCGTACTAATCTTTCGTTTCTCTTAAAATACATACTATTTTGCATTATATATAAATCACTGTAAGTTATACGAAGCGCGAAATAGTTATGCCTTTGTTTAATTAATTAATTGTGTGGTTGGTTCGTTATCTTAATTTCATTCTTTTTTTTTTTTTTTTTTTTTTTTTTAGGATTTCTGCATTATAGTTCCATAAGAATTGCAAAAATTTCGAAGTTTGATTCAGTCGACTTTCAATTTCAGTTGAACTTTCTTTAAACTTCTATTTAAATCAAATTTAGATATGATTTCAGCTCGGGAAATGTTTTAGCTCCTCTCTGTTTTAGCTTTATTTCTAATATCATTTTTTGCAATATGATTCGTGTAAAGTTTGATTTCATTTAAATTTACTCGAACATCATACTTATATCGAATTTTCCACCTAAATTTGTTGATTACAATCTCTGCTTCATATTTTTGTTGTAACCACAAAGAATGAATTTTGAGAAACTTATTTATTTTTGCAGGACAAAGTGTACGTATGAAATGGATTCCGATTTGAAACTACATTATGGCCGCTTACGGCGATTCTTCTTCGGTGATGAACCATGGAAAATAGCTGGGAAAGATTCAGATATCGAAAAACTTTTTCGGAAATTCTTTTCTAAATTACAAACTAAACTTCAAAGGTTTCGTTTTCTTTTTATTGCTTTTTCTTGGGTCTCTCTACCTTCAAAAATTTTTGATTTAACTTCTTTCTGTAGTAATTGACTTTATTTTATTGTTTCACCTGTTGAGTTCCTTTCTCTTTTTTTTCTTTTCTCTTCTTTTTTTCTTTTTTCTTTTTTTTTTTTTTTTTTTTTTTTTTTTTTGGGTTTGTATGGTGACATTATGTCGATTTCAAAGACTGAAGAGAATGAAATTATCATAATTTTGATTTTTTTCTTCCAATTAATGGCAGCAAAAATTTATAAGTATGTTCGTGGCGCAGTTGTTATTATGTAATATTTATATGTAATATGAAGACTGGTGTCATTATTATAAAATTATCACGGGTATCGATTTTGATCAGTTTTGAAGATACTTCATTCATATTCTCGCATTAGCACATGATTTAATTATTGTAATCATTTGTCATATTACCAGGAAGAAAGAAAGTGATCAAAAGAATGAAGAAAACGCCACTCCATCAACCAGTAGCGTCCTGATTGTACCGGACAGTTCCAAGTTCTTGCGCCATCATACAACTCGTTTAGCTGTGAACATTCTGAAAAAATATGACCTTGAATTGAGAGAAGTAAATTATTTGCCTGTTGTATGTTTTCGAAACTTCCATCGAGTAATAGCTTAATATCAATGTAAAAACTTATCCTAATATTTCTTGTGATTCTTTCGATGAATTCTATTTCCGAATGCTTCATTTACTTAGCCTTCAAGCTTAACTTATTGTTTGTTTTATCATCGCTGTTTGGATTTTTTTAATTGTATATTTCAATTAAAAGGATAGTATTTAATACAGGGTACGAATTTGCTATATATATTTCAGGTTCCGGACCATGTTTTATACGATTATACTTTTGCTCTTTCATCATTTATTGCTTACGAGAATCGATTAAAATTCAATCAATTACGACGGTTGCGTGTCTCTCAGAAAAACTTACCTGTTTCGGAAAAACGTGACGAAATCTTGGAGACACTCCAAAATGTTAAATTTTGACAGTAAAAAATTTTTTTTCTTCATTAAGTAGTGTAAAAGAATTGAAATGGAAGTGTTAATTTCGTGTTGAAATCAGTGAATGATACTTTTATTTTCTTGATTCGGTTACTTGAAATCTCAGACTTTTTGACAGTTATCTTAATATCTTTAAATCGAAGGCAACTTATTTTTGGTGCTTTATCTATTTACCACGGATTCAAAAGCATTTTTTTTCAGGTAAAAGTTCTTCTTATTGCTGGTGACACGGGTTGCGGTAAAAGTACTCAGGTATATTTTCTGTGCAGAAACAATTTTTTTCTCATGTGTGATACTAAATTCTTCATTTGCAATTTCGGGAAAGAGAAACGGTTTTCAGGTTCCACAATATCTTTTGGATGCAGGTTATGACCGTATTGCGTGTACGCAGCCACGTCGCATTGCAGCAATGGCTCTCGCTCGACGAGTTGCCTATGAAACACTGAATGAATATGGAAGCAAGATAGCTTATCAAATAAGGTTCGAGAAAACGCGTACATTGAGAACTCGGCTGTTATTTGTCACCGAAGGATTACTTCTAAGGCAGTTACAGACCGATCCGGAACTCAATCAGTACAATGTATAGAACCATTTATTTTGATCACTTTTTCAGTCTTTATGCATTGTTTTTCAATTTCAAGTGATAGAAACAATGATATTAGCAGTGAACTGCATGTCAAATCAGTTCTTAATATATGTTATCAACTATTAGTGACTAGTAATAACTGTTCATTCCTATGTGTTTGTAAATAAGAGTTTGCATGATTTGTTTGGAGAAAGTTACTTATCATTTTCATTAGGTCATGTTTTAGGTCATTATATTGGATGAAATCCATGAACGCAATTTATCCGGTGATTTCTTGTTGGGACTACTTCACAATTTGCTGCGAAAGCGAGATGATTTAAAGCTAATTTTAATGAGTGCTACCATCAACCTGGAGTTGTTTCAAAACTATTTTAAAGATGCGCCAGTTATCAAGGTGTCTTTTTGAAAGATGCAGATTGTTTCTAAACGTTTATACCTTTGGTGAATTCAAGAAAAAAAAAGGCATAATCAATCAATGAATTCTTCAGATGATAAATAGCTATTTCGTTGAAATCACTTCATGATTTTTACCATCCAGCTTACTAATTATATTAGCTGGCACTTATATCTGAAAAATCCATCCTACTTTTCAACCAGAATTCTTCTGTCTTGGAAACTACTGGTTATTTTAGATTGCTGGACGTCTTTATCCTATTGAGCTACGATATATGCCAATAAAAGAACATAACCAATATGAATCGGAAAAGAAGAAAGCAAAAATTGATCCGGGGCCATATCTTAATGTGAGTCTTTTATTCCCATTTATACAAATTTCGCATTTTGAGAAAACGAGGGACATTCGGTCGGTGAATTTAAAAATGCAGTACTTTTTAAACCATAAAATAGGTTATCCTTACAGTTTCCGGTCCTTTTAGTGCATGGAAAGAAAAATGTTAGTTTTTTTTTTTTTCTCTTCCCAACTATTTTTTTTTTTTGATTGGAAAACATGATGCAATCTTCACAAATAATCCTTAGTACATTTAGATCCTTCAAATGATTGATGCAAAAGTTGACAGGAATGAGAGAGGCGACGTTTTGATATTCTTGAATGGTGTCTCAGAAATATCGACAGTTGCAGAAGCCTTAAAAATCTACGCGGAAACATCAAAGAAATGGGTTATTCTAACACTTCACAGGTGAGATGCTGGAGTGATGTCTTTGCAGTTTGTCACATCTTAAGCACTATTCTTATCTATTTGTGAAATAGTAATAACTGAATAAAGCGTGGACAGTTAAATGTTCTTTTGCTAATATATACTTATACTATTTAGCACGCTGTCGACAGAAGAACAGGACAAAGTGTTCGATATTGCGCCTTTAGGAATTCGAAAATGCATTTTAAGTACTAACATCGCAGAAACATCTGTTACTATCGACCAGGTATTGTTACTTAGATTTTCCTGCTATGAATCAAATATTGTTAATATAAAAAAGGAATGATTTCTTTTTACAGATCCGATTTGTTATTGATTCCGGGAAGGTAAATTTGGTAAAATTTGATTCGAAAACAGGGATGCACTCACTTCGAGAATACTGGACTTCTCAGGCATCCGCTGACCAACGAAAAGGTTTCGTAATTTTAAATTTAATGAGATGGAAAAAAGAAAGTTTGATGACACTAAATTTTCAGCAGAAGAAAACTTCAGTCTGCAAACTTTAACAAATCTTCTCTGTCATAGAGTTCTGGAAGTCAAAAAATCCAGGGTCCAGGTGTATTTGGTTATAATTGAGCGCTTTTCGAGAACAATCTAAACCATGGCGAGATCTAGAAAAGGAGGAAAAACTGAGAAACTTTTAGCACTTTTGCGGCATTTTCAGGCCGTGCTGGCAGAACCGGTCCAGGTATATGCTACAGACTTTATTCTCAGCAACATTTTGATAAAATGGAACCGTTTACAGTTTCCGAAATTAACAGAGTTTCGTTGGAATCACTTGCCATGCAAATCGTTAGTATGGATCTTGGAAGTAAGTACTTTTATGCTAAATAGATTATGGTATTGTCAATTTACTTTGTATGTACTTAATAAATTTACTATTAAATAGAATCATTAATTTTTAGATAAGCTTAGTTGTTTCTGGACTGTTGCATATGCATGCCAACATAATTATTTTATTTTCAGTTTCACCTCTTGAATTTCCCTTTATTGAAAGACCGAATATGGGTGAGTTAGAAGAAGCAGTGGAAAGCTTATGGAGGCAGGGAATATTGGTGGCTGGTAATACGAAGGCTTTAACACCTTTGGGCAAGATCATAGCGAATATTCCAGTGGAAATACCAGTTGCAAAAGTTCTTTTTAAATGTGTATTTCTGTTTGTGCATGTGTATGCGTGTGTGTATATGCAGGAGAAAAATATATAATTGCAATGTGGAATGAAGTCTAAGAGATGGCTGCTTTTTATTTTCCTATTTTCTATAATAAATTATCCCATGCTGTTCATTTCTTATTTTTTATTCATTTTTTCAGGTTTTAATATATGGTTGTGTTTTTGAACAAGTCGAGCCGTCTTTAACAATTGCTGCTAGTTTAGCAACTAGCTCACCTTTCACCAATCGATCATTTCGGGAACCGGACGTATTGGATAGAAGGAAAAATATTATGTCTGATAACGGTGATCCGTTTGCATTAATTAATGCGTATCGGTGAGCTTTAAGAAATCGATATTGTGATGTATTTATATGATTCGACGATAGTTTTCATTGCTCGGAGCATTTATACTAGTAATTATGGAGATCGAGATAATACCCACAACATTTAGATGCAAATTAGGTCAGAAATATGAATTGAATCTGGTGCATCTGTATCACTTTTATTTTATTCCTGGTATATTTCTTCGACAACTATGATATTTCTTGAATAGAAAGCAATTATGAAATAGTTTCACTTGAATTTTTTGGATTTTTTCACGGATAACGTACGCGATACTTTATGCTATGAATTAATACAGATATTTTCGAAATATTTTAATAAAGTGCATGGAAATCCTCTGAATTAATTGTTGGACTTTTCAGAGAATTTGTCGAAGTGCAAGCTGAACGTGATGATATACGTCGATGGGGTCGAGAAAAGGGAATCGATATTCAACGCATGTATGAAATTAGGCAGGTAGTTTAAAATTAGATAATTTTGACCAGTAAGCATTCTTTCTTAATCATTTATGGTAGCAATGAATTTATTTATACCTGTAATTTCTTTATTTTCGAGAAATCTATAATTAATCATTATAGAGATAAAGTGAAGCGGTTTGATAACTTGTATAATGATTTTTCTTAGTTGATTTTTCTTCATGTGGAATTTTTAAAGTTATATTTGAAAATGGAATAAACTATATAAGCGACTGTTACAATTATAGGCAGCTAAGACGCCAATTTAAAGAACTATTGGAACACAGTGGTATTTTGGAGGCAGAAAATGATATAGATAGTCGTGAGCGTCGTATTAATGCCGGTGATAGAAAACGTCTCAATGAACTAAAAAAAGATGCTCGGTTCATTTATTAAAAAATAAAAATAATAGAATTATTCATAAAGTAACCATCATTCTCCTTCATTCTTCCAAAAATTTCAAAAATAAAAAAATAATCCATACATTTTAATTTTCAGTTATGAAGTGAAGAAACGAAAAGTATTGAAGCCTGAAGCTCATTTCGACACATTAATGGATTCTGAAGGTTAAAAAGTTTTTTCTTTTTTAAAGTCATGAATTATAAGGTTATTCAGTTTTTGTGGAGTTGCTTTGACTATGCGCTGAAGGAACAGTTGAAAAAAAAAAGTAATTTCTGAATAAGACAGGTAATTTTAATTGTCAAGCTCCTCAAACCAATTTGTTTTCTTGATTGCAGTAACAGGTTTTTAAGCTAAATATAACTTAAGTGCAATAATTTCCGGTAATCTTTCACTCATGGATAGTGTCCAAGCTCTTGAATTCTACATGGAAAATCGTGAAAGTGGTATTCGAAATATTTTGAAGTCCCACCGCCTAAACGATGCCACTTTTTCGATTTTGAAATTTATTGTCACGGCTGGTGTCCATCCTCAATATGCCATACTGGATCAGTACAATTCGTACAAGGTGAAATACCTTTGTTTTAGCCAGAAATGGTCAAAATTTTTTATCTCAAATGGTCAAAGTTTAGATATACCGTTATTTTACTGCATCTTTCTACCTTTCATCCTTTCTTCACTTTCTTTCTGATATGTTCACATGCAATTCTATCTTGTTTGAAGCTTATTTTCAGGTCGGAAATGAACTTTTTGCTCATACGCGAAGAAAACCATTTGCTGCCTTACATCCAAATAGTTGTTTGGCACTTTTGCCAGAGTCTTTGGATTATGATCGCAGTGACAAAGTAATTTTGTATTTCATTTTTTTTTTTTTTTTTTTTTTATTTAGAAGAGAAGTTTAATTTTATTCTATGAAGTGACTAGCATATCTGTTCTTCTGTACTTTCTTTGCGCTACTCTCTGGATGTTTTTCTTTTTTCAACCGAAGCAGTTAGACTAATTGTGCTATTAAATTATCCTTGACATTGCTTAATTCTAATGCTGTTTTTTATTACAGGGTTTATCGAATTATCACCAGCTAATTTCGTTTGCATCATTTATAGAAACTACAAAGCCCTATATATGTAATAGTTTACGTGTACCAGCGCTGGCTTTACTGCTACTATCGAAATCGGTATGTCCATTGAGAGAATGTCTTTTCACATAGGCGTCTTCATTTAAATTTAAAGAACTATTGGCTTTTTTTTTTTCAGGTGATATGTTCGGAAGATGATTATTCAATTATTTGTGACGATTTCATTAGCTATAAATTTCCACGGGTCATGGAGTTTTTTTCTGTTGTGGAGCAAGCATCTGCAACTCGTCGACAACTTACTAGAGCGCTCAAAAAAAGTCTTGAAGGAGATCTTTCCAATAATCATGCGCTTGTTAAAAGTGTTGTTTCATTCTTGCGATCAGACGTGGAATACATGTAAGTTCACACAAAAGACTTAGATCCTCCAATATTTCACATATGCAAGACAAAGTCAAACTTGACCTTATTAAAAGGAATAGCATTTTCCCACAAATTATTAATCTTTCATAAGTTCTAGTCTTACTCGTCGTGCGTGTCCGGATGATACTAAAGAACTCGGTTTTATACTTCCGTCGGGCGAAAAGTTGTGCGAGGACGATGACGAAGAAATACTAACATCAATAAGACTTTATGAAGCTCAAAGCGATTCAAGGGTCATTTTTGTCATTCATACTGTTTTACTTCAAAGGAATAGCATTTTTTATTCATTTCGCAATACTTGATTTGTATCATAACGTTTTGTTCAATTATTCCCAGTCTCCCTCTTTCCTGCTAATCTTAGTAATATCAGATACAATGAAATAAAACTCATCAAAGAAGCTCTTGGTAACAATCTTTAAACTATTCCCACTTAGTCTTCTTCGGAGTGCTATTTCGGTGATTCAGAGAGCTTCTCGAAATAAATTTTTGCAGTAAAAATTTCGAGGTCCTTAATTTTTGAGTTTATGGTACTACCTGTTCAACTGACCTAGTACTTTTCAGCTAGAAGATGAGCTCTCAATCAACAAAACTGCCGAAAAGAAACCAAGCATTGAATATTTTTGTGATGTTTGTCAGAAGACTCTTTCTTTTAGTACAACTTTTGATATCCTAAGGCATAAACGATCTCATTGATTGTTCTTTATTTATTTTCTTGTTCAGGTTGGAGAGGGATGCTATTCTTCATTGTTTAGATTATTGCAGAATGAATTCTGAATTTTCAGTTAAAATAGTTTGACTAAAAATTGTTTAAATAATATATTTGAAGTGACATTTCAATATTCTTAGAGTCTTCAAAGACTATTAGTCGTAAAAGGAGGGTGTAAATATGATTCAGAGCTTCCGAGTTTTATTCTTTTATTTGAAAAATACCAGAAGTTCATTTAGAAAGCGCTAATGATTACGGAACGCTCAGTCTTTTACTATGCGAAGCAACTAGAGCTGAGCTTGGCGATTTCTGGATATTCTCGTATTTCCCGAACTGATAAGGCATGTCCTAATCCTTGCATCTGAAAAGATCCGATAACCGATACAATCTTAGAAAGGCCTCTTTCGATTCTATCTTTGATTTAATTTACTCCTCGTTAACATTAAAATCCTTTCGTAACTGCTCGACAAATTTTTCTTTTTTTTTTTTTCATATCACTAAAAAAGCTATAAAATCCATTCAGCTATACAATTCATGAAATAATTGTAACAAAAATGAAATATAATTTTAATCTAAAGCAAAATATTTGATGATAAAAGAAAAGAATGATGCATATGTTTGAGCAACAAAATAATAACAATCACTGAATTTGATCCATTTTTTTTACGTGTTCGTTTTGCAAATGGACACAAATTATATGCAAAATTAAAATGAGAAATTAGGCAAAATATATTAAATTGGCAAAAATGGCAAAGGTATTATGTTACAAAGTTTGCTATAATTATTTTGATTTGACCCATATTTTGCTTAAATTTGCTTTTTTTCCTTTTTTATTTCATAAAATCATATATGAGATATATGACTAAATCATTCTAACTACAAAAAATCTTCGATATTCTTTTTAACTGTACTTATTTATTCATTCTCTTTTAATATAAAATAATTTGTAGTAGCAATGTTTAATGGGTCAAATCTTTTAGCAATCATATAAATATATATATATATATATATATATATAGAGAGAGAGAGAGAGAGAGAGAGAGAGAAAAGGAAAAAAAGCCCATAAATTGCTTAATATTTCGTATAGTAAATTATAAATTTAAAATAATTTCTTATTTGTTTCTGGAAAAAAAGAAGAGAAGGAAAGCGAAGAATATAAATATTCCTTTCTTTCTATCATAACAGTCAAGTTATTGCAGAAATTCCCCAGAAATTAAGTTGTAATTTTTCAACTTTTATGAGCTTCGATGATTTCACGACAAGGAAAAAAAAGGAACAGTGATTGGCAGTGAATTTCCATTCGTCATGTAATCCGTTATAAAAGCATAAAAGATATATAAATATGAGAAATAAATGATCAATTTGCATAAATAAAATTTCCTTTTCTTTTGTAAAAATTAAAATAAACAGATATATATGATAGCAAAACTAAAAGTTTCTTATCTCTTCTAAATTATTCATTTATAAAAAATACGCAAGAAGTCAATGAAACTCTATGTGGTTTACTTAGGTTTATTTAGTAGAGTAAATGTTTCATCAAAAAGTTAAACAAATTTTCTAATAAATGATTCGTTATTTAAAAAATAAGCAAATATATTTACAACTAGCTGGCCAGTATTACAATTCAATATAAATATTAATATTTGAGGATATAATAATTGAATGGGATTGATACTAAAAAAGATCAGACAATTAGTCAAACTAATTTTTCTTTTTTTTATCTTTCTAATCAGTAACAATGAGTAAGCAAGAAGAAATAGTTTTATTATGATAATTAATTAATATTGTTTACTGTTACTAGCAGTGATTAAAATGAAAAATATTTTTCCTTTCCCATTATTTAATCTTTTTAAATAATTTTTTAATGACAATATCAACAGAAAGCAAAATATTTAAAGCGTTTAGGATTAAACAACAGCCCATTTTGGATCATCGTTATCAGAATCGCTGAGTGGTACATTACCTGGCTGAGCTCGTATCACTCGTATCATTGGTCGTAATCGATTACCGGCATAAATTACCGTTGGTGCACTATTACCTGCACTATTAGGTGTTCGACTATACGGGCTAATATTATTACCATGGTAACCAACGGTAACAGATGATGTTCTCCAACCATATCCAGTTGATAAATGGTGTCCGTAGCTACCACCTAAAAAGAATATTTTATTGATTGTTTAATTAAAAAAATTCGTCTAATGCTATTGATATTTATATTAAAAATTGTTTGTTAATAACAATATGCACTTTTAAGTTTGAAATTAGTTCGACATTTTTTTTTTTGTCTTACAATTTATTGAATATAAAAATTTTGTTTTTTTGAATAAAAGATGAAATACCTTGTCCATAAAATGGGAAATTATATGCAGAACTGGGAGATGGTGATGGTATATCATCAGCAGGCGTATAGTAAACAGACGGTGGAGCACCGCTAGCTGTGTTAAAATCACTTCGTGCCGTATGATACGGACTTATGTAATGTTCAGGTGAACGTAATGGCGCTGACGGAGGTAATGCACCAATTAATGGAAGTCTTCGTTGACGTACTGCACTTGGCATTGGTTCATCATCATCCGTAAGCATTTGCGGTGATGGTGTACCTAGGAAAAATGAGGTCATAGATAACATTTAAGCATGTGATAATATTTAATGCCATTATAACGATAGTATATAGAAGGATTTTTCCTTTTTAAAAAAGATTAAATTACTAATCAATTCACCTGAATAAATCCGCTGATTCACATGAGATGGACGCGTTGGTGATAATCGTCGCAGTCGGTTTGGCAAATAACCATCAACTAATGATAAATTTTTGTTGTCATCGTTATCACCACTATCATCATATGTTGATCTATGAGGTGGTACACGTGGACTTGGATATCCCTCACCTCGTAGCTTTATGAAATTGCTGGAAAAACTTTTAGGCTATTTTAACCTATGAAAATGTATTAATAAAAATATGATAAAGAAACGTTGACGAAGATGTCTAACTTCAAGCGTGTAGGTGAATTACAATTCCGTGACGTTTGTCGACTATAGTTGGAATGTGACGGTGAACTTTCTGGAGAATGTGAAAGACCTCGTCCTATAAGGGATTTCAAATTAAAAAAAAAAAAAGTATAAATAAGTTGTGCTATTTTGCTTACAGTAAAGTATTTTATGGAAATATTAAATTACCAAATAACCATTTCCACTATCTTTTGCTGTTAATGACATTTTACAGTTGTTTTATAAGTAACACAAAGTTGTAAATTTGAAAAAGGTATTCGAAAATTTGCTCATATCTTTTATTATTTTATCACTTTCAAAGACCCACGATAAAAATGATCAGTTGGCGAATTTGAACGAGTTTTACGTGGATAATTTGACAAATCCTTATGTGATCGTTCCTCTGGTATCAATTGTTGTATCTGAAATTTTTCCATAATGTCATGATTAGAAAATAAACTAAATATTAAAACGTTGTAATTTGTGAATAGATGGATGCGTGCAAAAACCGCCAATTATTGACAAATTCATTTCTTTCTTTTTTTTTAAATCATATTTTAAATGGACCAATTAGACGAATATCTGATAAGTCAAATGAAATAAGCCAATTTATGATTGAAATAAAAAGAAGGATGGGATCAGGATAAGGAGAAAGGAAGATATTATCATGCAACACTACGAGCATATAAAGCAGCGTACTAAAGCATTTCAAAAATTCAATTATACAAAATCAAATCACCCCATTGACTCATTGATAAATTACAAATTGCAATAAAATTTGACTTATAAGAAAGCATTTAATGATGATATTTTGAACTGAACCAAAAAAGAAAAAAACAAAAAAATTTATTTTTCTTTCCAAAAATGAAAAAAAAAAAAAAAACGCACATAATTTAACATAATGTAAATGATAGATAATTTGGTTCAAATATTTTATTGTAATCATAAAGGTCTGACAGTATTACTGCAAAAACGAAAAATATTTCGGTGGCTTAATAAAGTTAAAATAACTTGTATCATTCAAGAAGTTCACTCATGTTGAATTAAATAAAACAGTTTGTTGATTAGCATCTTAAGTAACCAAATAATACCGTTATAATAAGTATATCGTTATCATTATCCTCAAAAAATATTCTTAATTTAATTACGCAATGATTACACAAATATCATATCATATCATACATATTTTCTGCTTAATGATACAAATATAAATCGGACGTAAAATTGCAAAACATGCATTTCCAGAATGTGCGTTTCGTTACACGAAATATTATATCATGTGATATAATATATTATAATATCATATTGCATCATATCATATACCATTTTTTAACAAAAAAAAAAAAAAAAAAAAAAAAAAAAAAAAAAAAGAAAAAACATTATAAATAGGCAATAAATGATGAAAAAATATGGTAAATGCGAGTTATTGAGAAAATGAATAAGTTTATAAATCTTAATTTCAGAATTAAATTAAAATTTGCTAACAAAAATAACATAAAATAACAAAAAAAGCAAACTAAAAGCTTTTTATTATAGCAAACTAACTTAAGAGCAATATCTGACAAATAAATTTCAAAAATAAAATAATAATTAAAGCTTTTATACATTTCACACTAATATGTTTACCTCATCATAAGTGGTACTGTTTTTATCATAGACACTCAAGAATATTCCACCATTTGAATAACGCTACAAATTAATACCTTGTCTTTTTTTCGTCATTTCTCAATTCTTCTTTTATTTAGTAGTTAAATCGAATAATTAGTTTTTTTTTTTTTTTTTTTTTTTTTTTGAAGAAATTACAACATTTCGAACATATATCTCAGTTATGCCTTATATTTAAAATATCTAAATAACATGAAAGAATACTGTAAAGAGCTGTGATATGAATTTCGCAATAAAGCTAAAACTTCAAATAAACAAATTTGTGAAGACTAACATTTCATAAAGAGTAGGAAATGGGGGAAAATAATAATTTTTTTAATTTGGAAAATGATAAAAAATTAGAATTAAGAATTAAAATTTCGCAATTAGCAATTTAAATTGATAAATTACCTGTTGTGATGGATCATTGTTGTTTATGCTACTTTCTCGGCTACGTATTTTTGAGATAATTCCCGAAAGACGACGACCAACAGTTGGTTTATCACTGAAACAGTTAGTGGCATTTCGATTAATTTTATAATCAGCTAAGAGACGATAAGATAATTACCTAATAGATTAGCTAATAATGAAATATCTAACAGATTATAGAAAGAAATAAATAAGAGAATAATTATCATTTGTTTGGTCAAATATGAACTTAATAACACTTTTCGTCAACTAATACATTATCGCAATACCGTAATCATATTTTCATACTGTAGGCACGCCGTTGCTTGTAAGGTCGTACAAGCTACTATCTATTGTGTTAGCTACTACTGTATTAGCGTATTTTCCTAAATTCAACAATTAAGTCTTTTAATATTACTTTTTCATTTGATGAAATTATATATATAGCATATGTAAGTCTATTAATCACAAAAATAACAGCAATTTTGCTGAATAGAATTATTTGTAATATGTACTGAATTTGTCTACTACAAAGTTACTAATGTTCACATTGACGTATTTCAAAAATTTGATAATTAGTGATTCAATTAATTAACGTAATACTAAAACTTGTAGTAATTGCTTTGTTCTGTTGTTTGATGTAAAAAACAAAAAGAAAAGAGAAATAATAACAAATAAAATAACAATCGAATTATAAGTATTTATTAAATACTAAAAAACCATAAAACTTAAATATAAAAATCTTTTTCAAAATGTAAAAAGGAATTTTCGAAAATTTCGGTACATATTGAAAAAGTATACAACAATAATTAAAATTAAATTTTATGAAAAAAAATGAGAAAATTAGACAAAATTTTATAGTTAGAGGTATCCTGTGATTAGCTAGTTTCGATTAAATTAATTTACAGACAAACTTTGAACCAATCTGTGCACTTAATTTAGAAAAAAAAAAAAAAATCTGAAAACAATTTACGAAATTATAAGACTTCGTTTACGCGATATTGGACTATTCGGTGAATTTTCAGTACTATCCGTTTTCACAGCTTTGATTGTATCGACCAATGTAGAAAACAACGAATAAGGCCTCTAAAATTCTTAAATTTTCACATAATTCAAATTTTATTAACATAAACAGGAAAAAAGGATTTCCACACACGCTGTTTATTAAAACAAAATTTGAAACGTACAACTTTTGGAATTAAATAATATTATCGCAAAAGACAACAGGGAAGGGAGGAAAGAAGGAAGGGAGGATTATTAATTAATAAAAAATTATTTATCATTTCTGTTTTATTTTCATATTTTACACTTTTATTTTAAAAAAGGACGACCGAGGAAAAAGATTAAATTTTACTTAATAACAAATAAAAAAGAAATCCACAACTGAATCAAAACAAATCAAAAAAAACTTATTTTCGGAAAGGTTTGAAGAATAGCATGCTGTATAGGGTAAATAATTATCAAATTATTTAACATTATTCTTCATTTTTCCTTTGTATCAATATTATATATCTTTTTTTTTTTTGAAAGAGGTGATTAGAAAGAAATAACTAAAAATTAGTGACAAGGGAAAAGAATGTGGTAGAATAAAACGGTAGGATCAAAAAAATAAAATGATGGAGCAATATGTAAGGTAAACAAAGGTTTCCGTAATTTAAAAAAAAAAAAAAACAGATTTTTTTTTGCCGTTTTAATACGAAAACCTCTTTTTCGTCATCCAATAAAAATAATGTATGACGATGAGTCATAAGCAGAAGTGCGGCTCTTTGCCGTTTACGTTTGGCCAACTGAAATTTCGTTTCTTTTTTTGCAAACTTAGTTATTAATTATGTTACGAGACTTGTTTTTCCGGGAAACTAAAATATTAATTGATAATTTAAAATTTCGAAAATTTCTACTGCTGGATTTTTTAGAAAATTTCTGTTGCTGAATTTTTTGATGTCTAAAAAAATTAGTCAATTAGCACTTAATAATGGAAAATTTTGGATTTTCTAAAAATTTGATTTTTCCAATATATATCACAGTAATGACATTTCATTTTCTAATGTATTATTAAGCTGAACATTTGCCATATTAATACATTGATAAATTTTGATTAAATTAATCAAAAATTGATATGCTATGTTCAGTTTGCAAGCACATATTTAATTTATAAGATAATTAATATCTGTAATTTTTTAATATTATTATAGAAATAAACAATAAAAATATGTATTACTTGTTGAAAGAAAGAAAAAGAAAGCAAAATATAATAAATCATCAAGTATCACACATAAATAAGAGTTAAAACATTATTTAAGAAGAAAAAAGTTTTACCTCAACTCCTGATTTCTTGGCTCGATAATTTTCAAGGATTAGTAAGCCCGTGTAAAGTTTCCCAACGGTTAATTTTTGATAGCATAATTCTGAAATCATAGTAACTTGACCAGTATAATAGCGATAAATAACAAAATTAACCTTTAATTATTTTTGAATTCTCTTACTTAGATTTTCTCTTACATAGAAATTGATATATAAACATTTTTTCAAATTTCGATTAGAAAATACTATCAGAAGAATTTACGCAACATATTTTCTTATTCCTTGCTTTAACAAAAAAATTCTTAACATGATTTGAATGGTGGATAACTTTGTATTTTGTTCTGGTAACTCTCAGTTTTTATAATACAACTTAATTAGTTTAATCAGCCTTTACAGCTTAATTATTTTAATTTAATTAGACGATTTAATCAGCTTTTATCATTCTAAATAACTGCGGTATTAACATTGCCTCGAAAAAGCAAAACATCACACTTCAAAACGATCATATCAAGTTAACTTAATAGGGTATAAAAATTTTTGAGAAATATCAAATTACGAAAGACACAAATAATGCACCCACATAAAATATTTGTTTAGCTTTTGCGTAAAGTTTCATATCCTAGATTAATATATTTGTTAAATATGTTAAAAGCAATAACAACCTGTATTTGGTGGTACTACCAAATCTATTATATTCTTTTTTGCTTTTAATGGCCATATTTTCCGTAAAGTTTGACGTAACTCCTCGTCTGCCTCATCCATTTCTTCCACTGCAACAGCAAATTTCTTTGAGTTAAATTTGAAAAAAAAAGTTTTTAAATTTTCATTATTTTTGTATCTCTTCTAATTTTCCATACGTTTTTTTCTTCATTTGCAACAGGATATAAAATCTATAATTTTTTTTTGCAAAAACAAAATTTAAATTTATGATAGAAGAACGATAAAGTGATCAATCCTTATCATATTTTATAATTTGCTATATCATTTTCAAATGTAATATGTAATATGTCCTAGTGAAAACATTAAAAATTTTTCAAAAGTTTTACTTAACATATGTTACATTTTTGCAATCTATTAAGCTAATTAATAATATATTTCAAAATATTATAAATTTGAAAGATTTAATTAAATTTTAATAATATAATTATACATAACATACCAGGTCTCATTTTAATACTAAGTGATTCCCGAATCAATGCAAACAATGTTGTCGTGAAATGTACAGTGCCATCATCTGCTACTGGCATATTCATTCGTATCAAATGTTTGTAGGCCAAACGATATGGACACTTACGGCCAAATCCAACTGGTGGCGTAATGTTACGTAACATTTCGTACATATCCGTGTAATGAATTCGTCCGCTAAAAAATTATTTTTGTTTTTTTTTTTTTTTTTTTCGTTTCTTACTCAAAAAAAGGAAAACAAAAATTTTTTTGTTAACATAAATATAAATCTATTAATTTCGATATTATCTCTGATTAATATCGAAATTAATTTATTACACTTATAGATTGTCCTATCATAAAATTTAGGTTTTTAGTGAAATGAATTTTGGTATAGAATCATTTATTAGGCACTACAATTCTAAGCCAAGGAATGATACATCTCAAGACTTGAAAATTTTGTTTATTTACCTACAATGCTCGTGATATTCTTGAGAAAAAAAAACTAACGTTGCAGCTGGATCATAATCAGCCCAAACTCGAACAAATTCATCCAAATGATGAGGTCCAAGAATTGAACTATCACGAGTTAAATAATCAAAATTATCCATTATTACAGCAACAAACAAATTTAACATCTAAAAATATGCAAATTAAAATTTTGAAAGAAAGGGAAAAAATTATTGGGAAAAACAAGGAATTATAAATGGAAGCTATTGCTATTTGCTTATATCAAAGCTATTTGCTATGTAATATCAATCATTATAATCAATTTTTTTTGAATAACACTTAAGTGTAAAGTCATTTAATTGTTAAATGAATTAACTGTTGTTTTAAACTGATAAACGAAATCATTTATTAATGATATTAAAGCTATTCGTTATTTAATACCAACCACTATATCACATTTACATAACACTGTTAGAGTATCAACGTAACATTGTTAATATCATTAAGAAACATAAAATAAATAATTTCGTGGCATTCCAATATTTCAACATAATAAAAAAAGAAAAGTATGTAAACTTTCATGTAAACTCAAAAAAAAAATCAAAGAATTATAGTACCAAAAATGATGACAAAAAGACGAATGTTGTGAAATATACGTAAGACATTTGAGTACCACAAGTTGGTCCTTTAGCTAAATTAATTTCAAATGAATTCGGTTTTGCGCAATATTTCCCTGCTGTACATGCCATCATTATATCTTGCCAAGCTTCACCTGTGGAACACCTGTAATACATAAAATAGTCTATCAGTAATACTATCGATAATAATTTTTTTTCAAATTATAGAAAAATTGAATTAAAAGCACTTCAATTCATCAATTTAATTATTATACAAATTCCGAAAGATTCAATTTTTCTCTACCACTCTCTTTTTTCTTTCTCTTTTTCAGTGATACATACCAAGTAAGCTTTTAAAAATAAAGTGATGAAGTCTAAAAAAGAAATAACTGAATTATGAATAAAATTTATAATTAATTTAGAATTAAATGATAAGGCAAGAAAAACAACGAACTGATTTAAAACTAAATGCAAAGTCAATGTAAATGTAGTATAAAAGCTAAAATTTGAAATAGATTTGAAGTTAATTAAGCAAATATTAGCATAAATAAACAAATGAATTAATAAATTTTTGAAACACAAGATTAAACAACAAAACGAGCACTAAACATACCGAAAAAGAAGAATGATTGAATTAAAGAATGATTGGAAATTATTATGTCTGTTATATTCGGTAGTTGCATCCAACCAAATATTACCAAATACCTTATGTAAAATATATCAAAGCTAATTATAATATTGTAAAATGCTAAAATTACTTCATGTTGTTGTTTTAGCAAAATTGAACATTATTTAAATATTTCAAATTAAACGAAAGAAAATTATACATAGTTTTATATTTTAATGAACATGGCTATATATCGTAATTTTATTAGTAGTAAAACAAGTAAAGGAGAAATTAGTTCAAAAAAAAAGATTAATGTTAGTAAAGTAAAAAATTAATAATTAATAGGTTTGAAATTCATTATTTAAGCGTTTTGAAAACAAAGTGAACAAATAAATAATAGCATGAGATAGAGGTATACCTGCATTCCAACAATAGCATAGATGAAAAAAAGCATTCCAATTAGTAAGCAAACATATGGTAAGGCCTGAAATTATTGAAATTATGCAATTTTAGGAAAACCTAACAGTTACTAATAAAGTCTTAAAAAATTTTAATAAGTCTTATAAATTTGCAAGATGAAAAATCTCGAAGTAAGCATACTTTAAAAGATTGAACAAATGTCCACAACAATATTCTTATAGTGTATCCCTGTTGTAGAAGCCTAATTAGACGAGCAGCACGAAAAAGACGCAAAAATCCGAGCGATACAAAGTGACCACCAAATTCAGTGACCAATGCATCGGTGATAGAGCCAACCACAGTGATAAAATCGAAACGATTCCAACCATCGCGGAAGTAATTCTTGAAATAAGTTAATAATATTAAAAAAAATTTCATATTACAATTGATAAGTAAATAGCAGTTGTGATGAATAATTTTTGATAAAATAAATGAATAAAATAAATTAATAAATTATCACAGGAAAAATATGTTTATATATTTATTTCAATATTTTCAAAATTTTGTGAATAATAGAAACTAATTTTAAAAATAATTAACGTAATTATAGAGTTTTAACATGCAAATTATAAATATCACAAAGAAATCCTTTCATTTTTCTTTTTTTTTTTAAAAAAAAAAGAAAGAGAAAGTGGAAATATTGCTTTTCTGAAAATATGAAAAAGAAAAGTTGTTTATTTAACTTCTATTAACAAAAAAAAAATTTTTTTTTTGAAAATAATAGAATGATTAAGGAAAAAAAGTTGCTAAACATACTTACTCGAACACCAAACGCTAATATTTTCAAGACTGATTCCACTGTAAATATTGCCGTTAGTGCCGTATTAAAAAAACGCAAAATTTTTTCGTAAAATTCAGAATTTCCATGAAACTATAATAATAAATGAAAATATAAAAAACAAAAACAAAGTCAAATAAAAATCAAAAAAAAAAATCTTTTTTTAACAAATAATTTCAAATATTTGAAATATTCGATTAGATATATTAAATACTGTAGCAAACATTAGGGAGGAAAATAATAATATTTTATATAAAATATTTTGATAAATGAAAGCATTCTTATAAAAAAACAAACTTTTTAAAAATAAATATGTTAGTAATTACATAGTTACGAAATATTCTAGTAATTACATAATTACAATAAATTATTAGTTGAATGATTTTTTTCTCTTTTTGTAATAATATTTTCTAAACCTTTTTTTTAACATTTAAATAAATATTTCGAAATAATTTAACAACAATTTCTTATTTACTCCGAGGAAGAAAGGGGGAGAAAGATATATATATAGAAGTAAAAATGAGTGAAAACGAAGAGAGAAGTAAAACCTTCATCATTAAAATGATTGTATTGCAACAAATCATTGCCATAATGAAATATTCAAATGGAGTTGAAGTAACAAGACGCCAAATCCGATATTTCATCGAATTCTTATCTTCTGGCATAAATAATGATCGTGGACGAGCATTTAGCGCAAAATCAATACATTGCTTCTAAATATTTTTACCTTTTTTTTTAAAAAAAAAAAAAAAATTAAATTATAATAATTAGTAATTCGTTCATTTAATTTCTGACAGTTTTATGATTAACTTGAATAAATGTTAGTTAAATTAATAGCTGTTGTTGTAAATTTATCATGAATAATAATAATAATATATAGTTAATTAGAAAACCAATTTTGCTATATTAAAAGTTTAACTTAATATACACCCGTAATATATGTAAAATCATCTAAACTTGTTAATATAAATCATCTATGTTTTATAAAATTAATTTCGTATTAATTAAATAATTGCTATGGAACAACTTTTTGCGAGAAAATGTTGGAAATAATTCGGATCTAAATATTGTTATAGTTAAATTCCCAGAAAAAAAAAATTTCCTGGAAATTTTACATTTAAATTTAGTTAGTTATGAGGACCAAATTTATCAAAGAACAAGACATTTGACTTACCTGGTTCTTATCTAGATCACCTTCTGAAAGTTCTGCTTCACCTTGCTCTTGAAATGTGATAATAATCAATGCAACAAAGATATTTACGAAGAAAAATGGAAATACGATGAAAAACATAACATAAAATAGTGCCATCTGTAAAATTATTTTATTATACAACATGAAATGAATGAAAATAATTAAATTCAGTCTGCAAAACAATACAAATAATTGAATAAGTAAGGAAAAAATGAACAAAATTAACGAAGGCAAGTGAAAATAAAAAAAGTCTATGAAAAAGGGTTCATTTTTAGTTCATGAGTAATTAATAAATAAATTCATTTTAAATAAAATATGCATAAATATACAAACATATTCAATTAAATCAGTTAAATAAGCATTATAGAATGATGTGAAGTGAAAATCAAAATTTTTAGAAATATTTAAGTGCTACTGCTTAATGCTATATTTATTCCATTTTCTGTAATTTTTGTATAATTTCCTTTTTTCCTTAGATGACCTTAAACTTCCACTGAAATAAATCATAGAAAAAAAAATTTTTTTTTAGCAAATATTCGAAATATTTTAAAGATATTCAAAATGGAAAATCAATTTTTAATTTAGAACTGATTTTAATTCTAAACATTTCTAATAGACTTTAACTCGTCATCCATAAGTATAACTTTACCTCGACTCTATAAAATGGTAATGGTCCTTCATCTTCTTCGGTAGTATCCATCGAATTTTGCCGAATACTTGGCCATCCTTCTCCTGTTGTAACAACAAATAATGTTAACATTGCATTCACTGTATTATCATAATTAAATGGACGTAAACGCCATTCACGTGTTTCAACATGCGGCAAATCATCCTGAAATAAATAATTCCAAATATTATCAAACATTCAAATAAATTAAACATTCATAATCGAATATAAAAGTGAGAATTTCAATTTATTAAATAGTTTCTTATGATTGACTTCTAAAAAGTGGTAGCTTTCCGGATCCGTTATGATAACCAATCAATTATCACGATTCATTGCTGGGTGTATTGTTGTAAATGCAATTTTCATCGGAATTGCTACAAAGTGTTTTATTTCAACACATCATTTTAATTCTAAACAATATCCCATGGTTTTCAGTAAATTCCATTTTCATAAACACTATATAAATTCAAACATTTCTCAAATTAATTTACATATGTTAATTAAACTTAAGAAATTTAATCTATAATATTATTGTGCTATTATTGCTCATTCATTATTATTATTATTATTATTATTACCACTTTTTTTACAAACATATTATTTAGGTATTCCGGAGAAGATATTTCATTTTTGATATTATCAATAAAGATTGGAATACCATTATTTATCTCGGAAGCAATACTTATGATTACACTATATCCGGATGAAACATTTGATGCCCTAATTGGTGATCGAGAATTCTTTCGAGAAACATTTGAATCAGAATCTGAGCACTTATTTGCTAGTACAAATACTGCACATGCAATACATTCACATGGTGATATTTCCGGGAATAATTTGAATGATAATTTACGACGTCGAATCTCCATTTCAACAACTACTTAATTTACATTCTTTCTCTTTCTCTCTTATCATTTCAAGAAATAAATAAATAATAAATGTACCAACATTCGATGCATTTTTATTTTACTTTTGTAATTATAAAAAAAAGAAAAAATTGCTTACTTATTAACTAATAACTAATAATAATTATTATTACTGTAATTAAGTAATGGTGATAATAAACGATGAGTTTTTATTGAATTTAATCCTTTAAAACACTTATCCTTTAAAACACTTATTTTAGTAAAATATTTCTTAAGCATATCATGCTAATAACATGTTCAATTCATTCATTACTTTCTCTTTCCTTTTTTTATTAACTGATCAAACTAAATTACGCAACATTATTTCTTTCATACATTTTTATCACTGATAATGTTTACTATTATCGATCCACTTAATATTATCCTACTTATATAACTGATTTCATAATTTGAAGTTATCATCAAAAATATTTAAAAATAAAATTTTTATCTTTTTTTTTCTCCTTTCCATATATTAATGAGCAATTAATAAAAAAAAAAAAAAAGAGCAAAAAATTAAAAGCGAAATATTTACCGGACTTTCAAAGACAAAATACTGTCCGTGACATTCACGTGCGAAACGTTTCGTTTTATCCGTACAATAGAAAAATTTCCCTTTGAATAGTTGTACTGCTATTACACCAAAGATAAATTGAAATAAAATGTAAACGATAAGAATATTGAATACATTTTTAAGCGAATTTACTACACAATCGAACACTGCCTGTAAATTAAATCAGTATTTCTCGCATCATGTAGAAATAGTTTCATTTTTATGATAATATTAGGTTTTTTTTTTTCTCTCTCTTTATTTACCTGTATTTTAATTATGAACTTTCTTCATATGTATCATTTTATAGATTTCGCTAAGTATAAATGATATACTAACATTATTGGATTTGTATGCTTTTTCTTTTAAATTAAAAACATATCGCTCGATATCTTTGAATATAAATAAAATTTTTATATTTTTTTTAAAAATATAGTTTCTTTTTTATAATTTTTTTATATATAAAAAATATAATTTTACATATATATAAAATATAATTTCCTTTTTTTGAATATTAAAAATTGAAAATTCAAAAAGCATATTTACAACCTTTAATTTAGGTATTCGTTTGATCGTTTTAAGTGGCCTTAAAACACGTAATACTCTTAATGATTTGATAGTATTCAAATTTTTGCCAGCTGAACCCTCAGCTCCACTGAAATTTTAACTTAGAAATAAAATTGTTTTTCTTTTTTTTTTTTTTGAAATTACTTCCCGGTCTAATAGTTGAATTTTGTTTCAAAAATATATAAACTTTAAAAAGAAAAAAAAGAAAAAAGAAAAAAAAGAAAACAATTAAATGTTGACAGTTATAATAAACAAAAAGCTTACGCAAATGAAAAAGCAACAAGAGCACAGAAGACGACAATACCATCAAGTAAATTCCAAAAATCACGACAATATGAGCCTGGATGTAGTAATACTCCTTGGTCTATTAACTAAAATATTTGAATTCTTAATAAGTTAACAAAGGTTATTTGTTGTTATTAATTAACATATCAATTAAGTAGTGTTATTATTAATATAAATAAGACCAATTAGATTGAATGCATAATTTTTTAAACTTTATAAGAAAATAAGCTTAAGATACCATAAAATTTTATATGATAATAGAAAAAAGAAAAAGCGAATTGCTTAGATTATTAATAAAAATTAAAATTTTGACCCTATTGAAGTTAGTTTAACTCTATTTGAAGTTATAAATAAAGTTTAAAAAAAAAGAAATCCTACTTTAAGGCACATTTCCAAAGCAAAAACACCCGTAAAGCAGTAATCCATGTATTGAAGCACTTTATTTCTCGGAGCATCCTCATCGACTGGATCTTCCGCTGAAAGTGCTATACTGGAAAAGCATATTACGCCCATTACTAACATTTCGAAATATTTCGTTGATACCACTGAATGTACCAATACACGAAACCTATAAATTTTAATTGACAAAATTATAGACAAAATCTTAAAAATAACAAAGAAGTTGAAGAAATTAGCAAGCATTTTTTAAAAATAATGCTATGTTAAATTATTAAGAATTAATTATTATAGAATTTTTGCTTAACACTAAAAATTAACTGACAATTTAAAAAAAAAAATTAAAAAGTTGAAATTTCAAATTGAAATGATATGTAAAAATTTACGGATTTGTTGATGAAAAAATAAACATTGAAGAGAATGGTACAATTGGTCGTGGACCACCAAAGGGACTCTCTTCTTCTTCATACTCCTCTAAAAATATTTATTATAATATAAATATTAATTAATATTATATATGTCTAATTAAAATTTTCTAATGTTATAATAAGATAGGTATACATTAATACCATTGTTGTTGTTAACAAATGATAAAAATTTAAAAAGTAAATTCAAAATTCGAAAACAAATTAAGTAAATATTAATAGTTCAATTTGTAACATTATAATTAGTATTGAAATAAAAAAGAAAGTAATACCATCTATTTCATGTTGCATTTCCAATATATTCCCATCTGCTTTACCTTCCATATCGATGGCGCATTGTTCACTATCCTAGAATTTTCATAATTAATATGATATTTGACAGTTTTAGAAATACTTTAATGTACAATATATGCGTAAAGAGAGAGAGAGAGAGGTGATTATGAGAAAATAACCAAAGGGCAATTGATAGGTACTATAGGAACTATAGGAAAGGGAATTAATAACACTAATAATAAAAATAGAAGGTATATTAAACCCTAGTCACTGACTTACGTAAACTTTGAAGATTACGTAATCATATTGTCCAATTGATTTGACTTCTATTCAGTTGATTTCATCTTGCTTAATGCTTCACTTATTACCCTTATGTAGGCGCAAATGCCAATAATTACAGATTATCAGTTATGGTATGGGAATGTTTAGTTTGCATGAAGCATTTGCATCGATGTTAATTATGTTTTAATAATAAACCTGTTCATCAAGACTTTCCGAATCATCCGGCAACTCGTTAGCTCGTTCATCCGCTTCCTCAGCTGCTGTTAATTCTTGCGCATTTGCTAAATTATCCACAGCGATAGCCAAGAAAACATTTAGCAGTGTGTCTATAAAGTAAGTTCAAAATTTTTCATTTTTTCGTGAAATCATCAAAGAAATTTCATTTTTATTAGAATTCTAAAAAATTTCATAATTTCAAATTTGAAAATTTATTCACTTACAATTGCCAAAAAGTACGAGCACAATGAAATATATGCAATATACCATACCGCCACCATATATACCACCCTGTGATTCAATTGCTAAATACATTACTTCATTCCAATCCTCTCCGGTTAATATCTGAAATTTTTCTTTTTACTGCCTTTAATTATTTACCCGGAATTTGCATATTTGCTCATTTATTAATTTATTTCATCAAAAATACAGGCATAAAAAAGTTAGCTACTGTTTTAAAATTAAAAAATAGCAAAATTTGTAGGGAATGAAAGGTAATTAATTAGATAAATTTTATGTCAGCCATACTTTTTATTTTATTTTTCTTGGTTTTTCTTCTATTAGCTGGTATTAATCAATATTTTATTCTTAGAAGAATATGTTATCATTCAGTTAAATTCTGATATTTTAAATTTCATATCTTTGCATCGATAGTAATTTTAATTGTTGTCACACTATTCATGATGCATTTTAAAGCATAAATATTTGATAAATTTAGAAGAATTAAATTTTTTGACTATTAGTTGATTGAAAGAAATGAATAAAAATTAAATATATGATGTTACTATTGAGTGATTAATTGTTAAATGAACTGTATACTAAATTCCATTGAAATAATCGTATTATTAAGACCTGGAAGACTGTAATTAAGGCCACCGGAAACGTATCAAAATGAGTATAGGGATGTCCGGACGGAAAACTAAATCTGAAATTTAGAAAAGATGATAACAAGTTATTCTTTATAAAAATTTTATTTTTTCCAGTTTTGAAAAATGTTTAAAGTAATTACTTTACACTGGAAAAGTAACAACTTCAGGGACTTAACAATATGTTGATAATTTTCATATCGTCCCAAAATGTATTATGTATTATATCTTCGTAGTAAATGCAAATAAAAGCCAAGATCACGTGACTTATCTCTTGACTAAGACCACGTGGTTTATTCCAGGATGACGTCCTTTACCTATCAACTAAAATAATGTGCTTTATCTTTTGATCGAGGTCACGTAATTTTTTTCCTGACTAAAATCACACGGTCTATATATTGATCGAGACCACGTGCTCTTAACTAAAATCATGTGCTTTATCTTTTGGCCAGGTCACTTGATTTATCTTTTTACTAAGATTACGTGCCTTATCTCTTAAACCATGGTCATGTGAGTCGGTGTTCAATTAAGTAATATTCTAATAGACTTATAAAGATAATCAGCAGTATTCTTTTATTGGCATTTTTTTTTTTTTTTTTGTCATAATAAAATTAACTTTTAATAAAAAGTGCTTACTTTCCGCCGAATAGTTGCATACCCAATAAGGCAAAAATAAGAATGAATAAGAATAGAAGGAATAATAGTGAGAGGATAGAACGCATTGAATTCATAAGTGAACGTACAAGGTTACGTAATGATACCCAGTACCTGGATAAATTAATAAGTAATACCTAATACTTTACTCATTAGTACGTATGCTAAATGCATTAAAAATTAAGGTTTTATTCTACATGACATTTCCATATTAAAATATTAATGTATATTGATGGATATAGTAAGATATATGGAAAAAATTACTTCCGATTTTTTTTTTTTTTTTCGTACATTAAAAGTGTACAACATTTTCTAACTATTTTTAAAAATAAGATACATATGACAAAAGTGCTTACGAAGTGAGCTTAAAGATGCGCAGTAGTCGTAAGGCTCGAAGTACGGAAATACCAAAGGAGCCACCCTTTAATTCTGCCCAAATTACTTCAAAAGCACTGCCCACAATAACAATGCAATCGAAACGATTAAATTTTGATGCAAAATAAACACGATGACCCATTGCAAATAGTTTCATTAGCATTTCACATATAAATATCCCCGAAAATACATATTCTGCGTATTCTGCAACAATTTAAAATATTTGCGCCAATGAAGTAAACAGTAGCTTCAGCAGACATTTCCACTTACTGGTTACTAATGCCAAATTCTTTTTATTTTTATTTGAAAATTTTTAGTATCAAATACTTTTTTTAATTAGACAGTTTATTTTAAGTTTTGATAAATATTGCAAAAAATAATAAGTCAAAAAAAAAATAAGTCAAGTTAAAATTAATTTCAATTTCAATCGTTTTATTTAAAAAAAGGAGAAATATTTGTTAATAAAAGTAACTTTTTCCTGTAAATTTCTTAATAATATATTTTTGAGCACTTTAATGCTGTTAGCTATCATATCTTAAAATAGCGTAAAGGAATCAAAATTGAATTTTTCAAACTTATAAAATTATAAGGTAGTAAAATGTTAGATCATCAATAGACATACTTAGAAATTCCGTAAACCATTCCGGTTGACCGTAATGCTCTGAAGCAACGCAGGCAGTATTGAGAAAGACTAATGTTATAACAAGCCAATAAAACACCTGACTTTTTACAATAAGTCGCATTTGAACCCTTCAAAATTGCATTTTATTAAGAAGACTTTTAGTTCACCTATATGAGCAAACTTCACTGTATTGGAATTTCAACTTACATTTAAAAGTATGGAATCGAAATTATCAATGTTTAATTCTAGTTCGAAATTCTTACACATAGATGGTTGGAAAATTTTTTATTCGAATCAATTTTGAACTTTCTATAATATCCCTCTCATTTTTATATCTTATCCTGTTTAATTTCTCGATTATCGTAATTGTATCAATTAAATTGTGTATTTACAAACAAATGTATTTGAGATAATTTTCGTTTTAACAAAAACTCATTTCCGGAGAACGATTTAATCATGATCTCAGCTCGTTTAAATTATATCTCTATCATCTAAGCATAAATTACGCTAAGTTATTCTAACATTTTCTACTAAAAAAGTTTTATATTTTAATGCAATCAAATTTCAGACCTCATATGTCGCACCTTTTTGCATATTGATCCCCAAAAAGTTCGTTTTGCTCTTTTACCTTAATCACATTCAATTTTTACTTTTGCTTTAAATTTTTGTATACTTATCGTTAGGTTAAATATATGCCCATTAGACAAACTTAATTTTTGAAATTTTATTGGATAAATATAAGCACATAATAGTAAGTAAGTGACTTCATTTTGCAAAATTGTTAGAAAATCAAAAATATAGAATAAAACTTGTGCAAAATTTAATCTATTTCGAATTGATACAACAATACCTTCACTTTCTTCATTTAGATAATCATCCTCATCTTCATCTTCTTCCTCAATGTCCTCTTCTGTTTCAGTACTTTGCCGCTTATTTGCTTGCTTCAATTTTTTCGCCGCAGTTCGTCGTCGTGCTATAATAAAATAAATCATTTTTAACATATCTTTTTAAATATATTTTTCACTATTAAATCATTTATTAATGATATAATTAAATTTTTTTGGTTAACTTTTATTAATTAAAGATATATAAATAATAATACATATGAAATGAATGTAATTTCTAAAGTTTTTATTGTTGATATTTAACTGATAACATATGGCATATTTTACTTTTGTTTTTTTTTTTTCATTTTCAAAATTTAATTGTATATATATTTGAATTTATTCCTATAAATTAAACCTTCCATAATAGCTGCTTTTTCTTCTTCCGTTGTTCGTTCCTCTTTTAAAATCACCTCTTCAGCGGTTAAAATCCATTCTAGATAACCGTTTAATTCACGCTCAATTTGTTGTTGTCTACGTAATTTTAGAAATTCTCGACGATTCTCAACTCTTTCACGTTCTTTCGCAAATTCACTGCAATTCGGTAGTCACTATATGTAAACTAAATTGCATTACTTAAATTATTAAAAAAAAGAATTTCCTAATTCAAATGTTCAAATTGAATTTTACGATTTTATTTCTTTTTTTAAAAAAGAAAACTTTGATGGTTTCTAGAAGAAAAATAGCCATTTAGTGCATTTCACTTCTTTCCAAAAATGTTGTAGCATTTAGTCAAATTCCTTACAGTCAAAAATATTTTATATTTTTCAAACTGTTAACTTTAGCTTGACGTAACGTAGTAATTTGATGACATAAGGTAATAAGACGTAACAATTAAATGTAAAATTGATAGATGAGAAAGATAAACGTTTCTTTCTAAAATCAATGTAGAAATTAATATTGTATATGTTATAATGCTGTTTGCAGCAGTAAATGTGAAAATTTAAATTATTGCATTAATGTGATTATACCGAAATTATGAAAATTGAAAGTTGTGAGAGAAAGAATTTTAACATGGAAATTAAATAAAAAAAAAGTTAAAAGAAAAAATATAAAAAAAATATATATATATAAAGAAAAATAAAGTGACGAAAAATATGTACTATTAAGAGAAAGGAATTAAATTTTGGTTACGTATGTTACGTAATACTAATGACTTAAATATATATAATAAACACTAGACAATCCTGAAACAACTAAGTAATTAAAAATTGTTTCATATATGTAATAGAATTATTTTTCAATCTCAGATTTTCATTTTTTGCAATTTTCATATATTATTTTTTGAAATTAACACAGAAATGAAAAAATTTTCAAATAAATAAAAAAAATTTCTCATTATTGTAAGAAAACACTTTCCATGTGATGAAGTTACATAAATAAGCGATAGTTTTGCATCAAGGCACTATGGAACTTATTTTTTGAATATTCGAAAATAAAGTTAGACAGACAGGAAAGAAAAACTGTCTGTTTTAATGTGCTATCATAGTAAGTAGCTTATTTATTTTAACAAATGCTAACATTATCATTATTAACATGATTTAAATATTTTTTCATCGAGAATGGAGATTAATTATATGTTAGTATAATATATTTGGAAAGCAAATTTACCCGGACAGGACACCAAGGACCAAATTGAGCATAAAAAAAGAACCAAGAACAATTAGAGGTATAAAATAAGCCCAATTATAGGTACTACCAAGTGAATCATTTGTCTGAAAATAAATTGTTTTTTTTTCGGTTAAAACTTAATTTTTAAATTATTAAAATGATCGCCTTTATATAACATAATATTGTAATTTGAAATTATATACCGATCGTATGAGGAATCTCAGCAAATCGAATTAAATTCTTGTTTGTAAATGTAAAAGATTTTTTTTAATTCTTTTTTTTTTCAAATGTACTAACATTTTTTTTAAATTTATAATAAGAAACATTAAAATATGCATTGCAATATGACAGAAATTTCTTCTACTATTTTTCTAAATTTGGCATAAAATTTAAGCATACGGACAACATCAATTTGCTTGCAACATATGGACAAAATTTGTTGCATTTGGGATAAAATTAAAACTGTATTAAAATTAAGTTAAAAATTTGATCCTGCCAACTGATCAAACTGTTGTGGAGTACGGTCCCATTAACAATTTTATTATATCAAATTTATGATTTAAATGCAAAAAAATACCAACAAATTGATATAAAATCGTTAAATGCAGAAATGGATTCAAAGTATACAGTAACACGAAATACAGTAACAGTAGTCATGAATTTCTACTTTTAGGTCTACAAGAATTTAACTCTTATAAATCTATTCAAAAAAAAAAAAAAAAATATTGCATCCAAAATTAGTGTTAAAAATTAAAATTAAGAAATCAAACAACTAACATAATACATTACAGTGGTCCATCCCTCCATAGTAATACACTGAAATACAGTAATCATAGCAAATGCAATATTATCAAATGAAGTGATACCATAATTAGGTCCAATCCATTGAGTAAGGCATACTGTACCCTCAACCTCACAATTATATGCACCCGTTGCTGCTGATTTATTCGAGCTATAATTTATTATTATTTAATGATAATTTCATGATATAAAAAAGAGTTGAATATTTTCAGAACTAATTTAACCTGTCGTAACTAACACATTTGAAGAAGCAATTTCAAATAATATTTACTTTGATTAATAAATATCAAGTCAATCTTTTTGAAAAAATTTGTACTAATTTATTTAGCTATATATATTCGATCTTTTTATGAAGGACTTTTTATGAAGTAAAAAAGTTAAATTTAACAAAATCAAAAAACTAAAAAAATTTTTTTAAGAATTAACCATGGAAATGGACGATCACTAAGATTTTCAATTTCACCATGTGCATTATAACATGCGGAATGGAATATACCGGAATAAAATTCTAATCCAATAATTGCAAATATAACGATAGCAAATAAGACTAATAAGCCAATTTGCAACAATGGCGCCATCGCATACAGTATTGATTTTAAAACTACTTGTAAACCTGTAAAAATGCAATAGTAACTACTTTTTTTTAAAGAAAGAATGAATAAAACTTAAAATTTAAGCATTTTAATTTATAATTATTAATGCGACAAAAGCTAGTTTTATGACTGAATTTGAAGTAAGTCATATAGGTCAAAACTGCGAAAATTTCAAATTATAATCAAAAATTTTAACAAGTTAAAATCACAGCGATTAAAATTTCTGGTCATTTTAAAATTATATTTGTAAAAAATACAGAAAAAAAATTGAATTATGCAAAATGAATGCAAATGTATATTATAATTGTTTTTTACATATGCTAAAATGTTTACTTTTATAATACTATTTCGATTAGAGTTAAATCATTTATAATTGCTACAAATAAGAATGTGAAAGATTACTTGGTATACCGGAGACAAGTTTCAGTGGCCTGAGAACACGAACAGCACGAAGTGTCCTTAAATCCACCGAACCTCGGCCTTCGCCATCCGATGATGTAAAAGGCATCATTGTTACTACTCTAAAATTACCTTTAGTTATTTGAATATCTATTAAGGTAATCTTATATAAATGATTAGCGTTATATTAATTGAAAAATTACTAATTTTCTGAGAACAATAATTAATGATATCAGATTTCCTTCTTTATCACTTTTTCTTCTTTTTTAGTTTAATCTTTTCTATCACAACACTAATTTTTTAGAAAAATTAGTTATAGAATTTTTTTTAACTGTAGTAAATGTTTATATAAATGGTGAATAAATTCAGTTTAAAGGTAATAAAGTGATATAAAATAAACGTTAGCAATGCACTTACCCGGAAGCAACAACAATAAAATCCATGATATTCCATCCTGAACGGAGGTATGATCCTTTATGAAGGACAAATCCAAATGCTATTACTTTTAATAAAAATTCAAAACAAAAAATGCCCATGAAATATGGTTCCGTATGTTCCTACAAAATAAAAAAAGAATTGAACTGATAGAAGAAAGCTATCTAAATGATAATGATTGGGAGTATATATTACTTTATTTTTTTTTTTATAAATACGACATAATAGTTTGATTGATTTTATAAGTAGTGTTTTCTAGAAATCATATCAAGTTTAAAAAAAAAAAAAGCTTAATATAAGTTGAATAATCATCTGATAAGCGATATAATAGTTGAATAGTTCTGATAGAAATTTTTTAAAATTACGATCAAAATTTTACAAATTTGAAATTACAATCAATAAAATTGCAATATGCAGTTGAAATCAAAATTTGTTGATAAATCACATTCTGAATATATTTAGCTGCTACAGTAAGTTTTAAATTTTTTAATCCAGTAATTTACTTGTAGATAGAAAATGAAATAAAATTTTGTAATTCCTTTCCAAAATTGGTCTTTTTTTTGAGCATTCATCATTTAATGTTTATATTTGCTACTAATTTATTAGTTAACGTTTACATTCAGGAAAAAAATGAAACAAAAAAAAAAAAAATACTCTTCATTTTTCAAAAGAAAAAAAAAATTTTTCAGCCCATCTAATAGAATTTCGTTTCTCACCTTACCTGATAATATGTTATGAGGAAAAAAATTATTTTAATGAAAAAAAAAAAAATAGAATTTTCATTTCTTATCCACTTCACCTTTTATCCATCCAAACGAATTTAACTTTAAACCGAAAAAAGTGCCGCATTTCAAATAAATAAATTTTTTCCCATTGCATTTTACAACTTTTTACGATACAATTTTGATGTTATTTGAAATAGAAAGAATTATTCCAATTATTTATGTTAAAAATTATTAATTTAAAAATAATCAATCATAAAAATCAGCTGCAAACTTTTTTCTGTCTCCATTTCCAAGATGTAAGAAATCAAAATTTTCTTTTCTTCTTCTTTCTTCGTTTTCATTCCTATCACTATCAAATTAGCGACAAAAAAAAGAAATTTTTAAAGAATTATAAAAGAAAAAAAAATTCAAAAAATTGCAAAAAAACAATGAGAATAAAAATTGTAGGAAAAACGAAACTTTAAATAGTTTATTGAAATCGACAAAACTTTGATAATTTGTTGAAAAAAATGTATGAAAATGCACGCAAAATTTGAATAAAACAAATAAAATTAAATAGCAATCTATGGAGAGAATATATTCCGTGAAATTCAAATAAAATATGTATTTTTATTGAAAAAAAAATGAATGAATTGTGTAATAAATGCCATAAATAGAATTAATTAATGTAAAGTTAGATTAAAATGATCGTTAAATGATTTTTATTATGGTCATTTCATCACTTATGCCATAACGGCATAATTTTATAGACTAACTAGCAAATTGATCAAATGAAATATAATTTAATGCGAGTTTAGCAGTGTTCATTGAATAATTTTCGCAGTTCTCTTTTTTTTTTTTTTTCATTTTTGTTGAATTTGGGAATATGAGTTAACTCTTATTTATGAATTTTGTAGTCCACACCATAGTTTTTGAACTGGATTAACAAATTTACTTAGAATTAAAAACTTTTCTTCAATATATTAAAATCTAAAATGGGCGTATCAAAATAAAATGAATTTCAGCTTTTGGTTTAATTTCTATTTTAATACATTATACTATAATTATCGAAACAGTCAGTTCATTTTCTACAGTGAGCAAATACTTTAAAATTAAAGCTTAAATTATAAAATTAAAATTTGACCGAGAAAAATTTTAACGATTTTTTTCTTCAGTATATTCCTTCAGCATTACTCTCATTGCTTCCTTTCTTTCTTCCACCCCTTTACCTTTTCTTTCCCTCTCTTTCTTATTCCTTCCTTTCCTTCTGCAATTTTATTTCCTATATTAGCACTACCAACTTCGTATTTTATCAATTTTTGTGTAGCAAAAAAACTTTAATCCTTAATTTGTAGAGAATTAAGCAAAATTACAAATCACAATTACAATTATAATCAAATAATCTGAATAACTTTCGAATTTTTTTACATTCAAATTCTAGTTCTATAATTTAAAACGCTTTTTTCTCTTCTTCCGAAAAAATATGAACTTTGATATGAGCTACAATAAAGAAAGTAATGATCAAATAATTTGCCCCAAATTTGATTTTATTTATAAACTTTCGACTTTCAATTTTTTTCAGAATTTTTTTTTTTTTCATTATTTTTCAAATCAAGCACATTATTAATTTATTATAGATTATTATATAATATTGCTGTATTGCATCTATAAGTAATTAACTATGTTTATCGCTTATTTTTTAGCTTTTTTTTTCTTCCCACTCTTTTTCCTTACCATTCTCTTTTCTTTCAAAGCAAATCTCTTGAATAATTTATAGATTAGCATAGTTTTAAATATTAAATTTCCTTAGCTTGATTATTCTTATTTTTGTTTTACTACTTCATGCAATCATCATAAATAGTAATATCAACTTAAACATTCTATTTAGACAGATGTAAAATTCATTTAATAGAAAGCTTTACTAAATAACCTTTAAAAAAATGAGCCTAAATTACTGATCGAACCGAAATTTTACTTTTTTATTTCTTTTTGAACATTGACTTTTTGCTATGTTTTCTTCTCTTTGTTCAACCTGATGAAATGATATTTTGTAAATAAACCAATAAAATGACGATTAAAAAAATAATTAATAAAAATAAAATTAACATTCATTTCAAACTTAATATTACAATTTGTGCTTTATACTAAATTATAAATTGAAATAATTCATTAAGGTAAATAAAAATTTTAATGAAATTAATATTTTTGACATTTTCCATTCCCTTCTTTCACTATTCTTTTACTACCTTTTGCATTTGTTTGTTTCGAATTTCTCACTAAGAAAAAAGAAATTTCCGAAAAGAAAAAATATTACTATAATTTACCTGTAAATGACGTATTACGTGGAAAAAAGTAAATTGGTCATAAAATGATCAGTTTATCAGCTATTCAACTTATTTCATGCAACATCTTCGTTTACAGATAATTATTCATTTTACATATTTTCAAGTATTTTCAAAATATGCACAAAATATGCAAATCGATAAATTTTGTGGGCATTTCTTTCTCTCTCTTTTGCCCTTTCTCCTTTTTTCTCTCTCTTCCCCTCTCTCTCTTCTTTCAAGTTATACACTAATGAATCGGATATGGTTATAATTTCTAATGCACATTGATGTTTATTTTGAACAAACTTTTCTCTTTCGTCATCAAATCCTCAAATCTTTCATTTCTTACCCGTGAAGTCATGAACATTTTCCCAAGAGATTCCCGAGAAAATGAAAATTCGAATTTTCTTTTTTTTTTTTCGATTTTAAGAATATATATATAATGCAGTTAAACTGAAACATCCAAAAATTTCACAATTCATACTTAACACGTAAAAGATGCATTTTGAAAGTAAAATGAGAAGTGAAAATTTCAAAGAATTTATCTGAAATTTACAAAAAAAAAGAAAATTAAAAAATAATAACAAAATTCTTTCCCAATTTTTCCATTTCATAACTAAATAAGCATCCCATTTCAAAAATTTGGCAAAAAACTTCAAAAATTGTCATATTTCGATGAAATAAAAGAAAAAAGAATGCATAATAATATGAGTGAATTTTCAAATTTTTTCACAAAAAATAAAATCAAATTGAAAAAAAAAAATTAAATATAAACGAAATGATGAGATACACATTGATCTCAGTGAAAAAAATCAAAAAAAAAAAATTTCTCGCAATCCTTTTAAAGTATTCTATTATTCATATGAAACTGTGATTATTCGATTAATTGCATTTAAATGCATAAGCAATACGTATTTTTAAGAAATTAATTTGATTAAATTAAATTGCACAACATAAACGTAATTTGTTTTTCTAGACGAATTTTTTAAAAAATCTCAGTAAACTTTATTACTATCATATTGTATATATATTTATATCAGCAATAGTATATATATTTTGTATATATATTTATATCAACAATTTTTTCTTTTTATACTTTATTTATAAAAATCTACTCATCTCTCATAAAAAAAGGATGAAAAACAGAGACAAAGTTGTATACCATTATATAATTCTCAATATTTCAAAAATTCAGATTATTCAAAATTTTCCTTTCTCATTTTTGTTCTAAAAAAATGAGAAAAGAAAAAAAGAAAACAAAATTTGTTTACTTCATTTTACAAATATTTCTACCATTCTCTTCTTCAATTATTTGTTTCATTAATAATCAAAATAATAAATAGTCACGGTATTCCTTCTTGCATTGTTTTTTTTTTTTTTTCATTTATTTATTTATATTTAATAAATATACAATTATGAATTAAATTACTTTATTTTATTTCATTCACTTGTTAATTGTAAATTAACAGATATTAATGAAAAAAAAAAAAAAAAAAAAATTTAATAGGAAAAACTGCAGTGTGTATTTCCCATTATATTATTTGTTGCAACGAGAACGCGGGGAAAGAGAAAGAGAAATGAAATAATTAAATGATTATTGATTAATAATTAAGGAAGATGAGAAAATTGCTCGGAATAAAGTTATTTACTTATTAATTTGATAGAATTTTCATATAGCATAACTATTAGAAAATGTTCTTTTTTTCTCTTCTTTTTAATTTAATCTTAATTTTTCTTTGCATTAAACATCCATTTATGAAATGGAAAAAAAACGAAAAATCCAAAAGAATTGATTTTTTTTTTTTTGATATTTTGTATTAAAGAAAATTATTTGTTAAACCAAAAAAATTCATATTTTTAGTGATAGCTCACTTTCTTTATCATCAAATAATCTTAAAAGTATGAAAGATTATATCTCGTTTTCTTTTTTTTTTTTTTAATCAATAATTTGTTTTTAATGTGTTTTTCCTTTTTGAGAGGTTAAAAGGTAAAAGTCCAAAGTCTTTATAATAATTTTAAAAAGGTTAACAATCAATAATAGTATAATTGAAAATACAAAAATAGAAAGAAACCAATCAATAAGATATACTTAAACGTTAGAATTTTTATGTAATTTATTATTTATCAATATATCATACTTTTTTAGAATTAATTCTTCAGAAATAGAGATTAGAAAGCTTTAGAATTTCCTAAGATTAATTTTATATATATATATATATATATTGTAATTTTTTCTTTTTTATTTTGTAAAGCTTGTTTTTTGCAAAAATTTTTTTTTGATTTTAAAAGTATAAATTTCTATAAAATTTCAGCAAACTTTCTTAGAATTAATCATTTAAAAATATAAATATTAAAAATTTTATGATTTTTTTTTGCAATTGTATAAATATCAAAAATCTTACAAATTTTTATGAATTGAGATTTTTTTATAAATTTTTCTTACAATTTTTATAAAATTTTTTAAAATTAATCAATTAAAAAAAATTTTTCTCTTGATTTTAAAACCATAAATCTATATTAAATTTTAACGACCTTTCTTTAGATTAATCGTTTAAAAATATAAATATCAAAAAATTTGCAACTTTTTTTTTTTTATTTTTTGAAAAGCATAAATTTTTATAAATAAAGAATTTTTTCTTTTATAAAAATCTTTTTTCTTACAACTTTTATAAAATTTTTTGGGATTGAACAATTGAAAAAATAAATATAATAAATTTTACTACTAACCAACATTTCAGCAAGTGGCATTTTATCATTTTTTGGAAGATGTTGCTCGAGCGCAAGTACCACACAATTTCCGATGATAGTAAGAAGGATGAAATATTCGAAGGGTCCCCATTCAATGATAGCTCGAGCATTTCGTCGAATGATATTATCCTCGCTGAATATGAACAACGATGTTGGGCCCTAAATGCTATCAATAATTATAATTAAGCATTTACTATTACACATATATCTCCTAGCTAATAGCAATAGATAAAATTTTATCATTTTTTAGACTTCTTAGTGCTATTTGTAGCCCTATTAAGCAATTTTAATTTTTGCTGTTAAAAATTACTGATTAAAAAAAATGCTAAACTGTTTTCTTTTTATTGATTCAAAAGAAATCATTTCTCTCTTTCTTTCTTTTTTTTTTAAATATTAGCAAGCTAAAATCATATCAGATTTTTATTTACTAATAAATTAACTAAGTCTGTTCTATTAATTTGATAATTCAAAGCCAGATAAAGCCTTGGCTTTCTTGCTTTTTTTTTTTCAAATTAAATTCAACTTTTCATGAGCACATTTTTTTTTAATTTTTTAAAATATTCAACCATTATGGATAAATATCATAAAATATTTATAATACGAAAATTAATAATGTCATAAATTTGCAAAATAAAAAGATTGTGCGGAACCGTTCCTTTGATTAAACATCTGAATCTAATTAAATCAAATAAAGATTTAAATAAGTGATATTCGACTAAAGTAATGGTAAACAATTCCAATTTTTCCATTACTCAAAATTTAAATGAAATTTAAAGATTCTCGTTTTTCAAACAACAGCGATTTCGAATCATTATTTTATTCTCTCATAGTTATCTTAATAAAATATAACTATTGGTTTTAACCCTCAATGACTGATTGAAATTTGTTATATTTGTATGTAGAAACGAAAGGAAAGTATAAAAAAAAAAAAAAAAAATTGTTCAAATGTAGTTCTTAAAGAATGAAACTAAAATTATTGCAAATAAATTTTAATATTCCAATAAATTAGTTCGGTAATTAACATTTATTATCTCATTTTTCAATATTTCATTTATTACCAGCTAATTTTAATGAAAAATTTAAGTTTTAGCAATCAATTGAAAAAAGTGAAAGAAAAACAATTACTAATTTCAGTAGAAAAAAATGAAATGTGCAAAAAAATCTGTAATAGATTAAAAAATTCAAACACCAATTAATATAAAACGAAATGATGTTAACTACATCTTTTCCTTCCAATAAAATTACCAAAAATGAGAAAATTTTTATCTGAAAAAAGAAACTTCTGAAAATGAATTTGTTTATTCCATTCATTTACGTCAATTTTATGTTTTTTATTTTTTGTTTGTTACACATATATTCATGCATTTCTTATGTAATTATGTTTATATTATAAATTTTGTCGTTTACTTTGAAGTTTACATAATATTTTAAAGTTGTTTTTTTATTTCATCAATTATTAGCACTGCGGGTTAATGAAAAAAAAGAAGTGGAAAGCAAAGGAAAGAAAAAAAAAAACCTTTAAAAATTAAAATTTTTGATATATGATAGTGTATTTTTGATTCTTTTCACACTAATAATTTGCATAAACGCTATATGTAATATTTAAAATAATAATACCATTTTCTTTTTTTCAGAAAAAAAATAATAGAAATTACTAGTGCTTATTAAAAAAGAGTGAAAAACAAGTGTTAGAAAGTTCATTGATTATGTAATATTGCTTACTAAAATTATTACATGTGAATTAAAAATGCTCACTTATTCATTGAAATATGCCAATTGTCATTATTATGATTATTATTACCACTTTTACAAGATCGAAATAATTAATTATTAGCATATACAATCAATTAATTATCTTGAGTATTTCACGCCTTTTCCCTCTCATCCTTTTTTTTTTCATTTTCTTCTTTCATATAAAATTTAAAATTAATAATTTATGAATGAATGATTTTTCTTTTTATTTTGTCTTTTATTTTAAACTAACTTTTTCTTTTGATGAATTAAGCTGTGTTCTTCGTCCAGTTCCAAGACCAAATCCATCGTCTGTTTGATTTTGTTCTTTCTTCGCTTCTTCTGCTGCCAACCTAGCAATTTCATCAATGCCAAGTGTCATCATCGATTTTGTTGTTAGATTTGCTTTTTGCTGATTGTTTACTTTCTAATAAATTAAAAATTCACCGCAATAAAAATTTATCGATTTTTTTCTCTGGAAATCTACAAAAAAGCACCACTTCTTCCTATTTTTTAAATTGTTTCAAATTAACGAAAATATAACAAAAGAAAAAGAAACAAAAAACAAAAACGAAAAACAACGGCAAACAAATAAACATGTTCGTGACACAAAATTTAAAAGGCAAGAAAGAAAGCATGCATGAATTTGTCAAAAAAAAAAAAAAAAACACAAGACAAAACAAAATAAAAGAATAAACTAAACAATCATGTGAAAATAAAATAATTGATTTAGCATAAATTCATATAAGAAGTTAAATTAGATATAAATTAAATTCATAGCTTCTTATTTTTTTAATTTCCATAGATTGTTATAAATGTTTAAGTTTTAGAAAAGAACGAAGTAAAACAAATAAATTAAAAAAAAACAAATTTTGCAAAACAACTAAGGAAGGGAAGGAAGGAAGGAAAAAAGTGAAGAAATATGATCAAACATTTATGAATAAGTTTTACTATGAAATAATATAAAATAAAGCATCAAATGGTATTGTAAAAAAAGTAATAACAGGAATTAAAAAAAAAAGTAATGACCATAATTGATAATAACAACATGCAATAATATAATGATAAAGATAATAACATTTAATTAATAGTGGTCATGATAGTGAAATAATAATAGTAATAATAATAGCAATAATGATCAATAATAATAATCATAAAAGTGCAAAAATAATATGTTAAACAAAAATATTGGTAAGAAAAAAATGAGAAAAGCTAAGAAAAAGGAGTGAGTGAATATAATGAATAAAGAAAAAAAATAAACAAATAATTCATATCTGAGATTCTAAACTAAGCTATGATTCCTTTCTTGTTCTTTTTAATTTCTTATTTTCCAAATTTGAAAAGAGATATTATGATTATTTTTTGCAGTGCTATTGAATAAATATTGCTTGCGATAATAATGAATAATCTGAAGCTCATCCTTTTTCGTTCTGCCCACTTTCTGGGTAATAATAGTAATAATATTAATAGTAATTGATAATAATAATAATGGTAATAATGAATAACTGTAATAATAATAATATTGGTAGTAATAATAGTAACAATGCATAATTTTTCCAAGTTAATAAAAGTGTTCAGCACTGTATTTAAAACATGTTCCACTAAATTAAACCTAGCTATTGAATTTTTTCATCTTGAAATTAAAAGTCCTCTTTGAAGTCTTTTTTTTTTTTTAATTTTAATGATGATAATAATGCTACGAGCCATATAAGACATATATGGAAGTATAAAATATTGATTCCATTTTTAAATTAATTTAAATATTTCAAACTTAACAATAAATTGACAAAAAAAATTGATGAAAATAGAAGCATTGAATTGACTAATATCCAATTTAAATAATAATAAAAATGAATCTAAATGGATTGAATCATAATCATAGTTTGAAGAAGTTGACTTAACTAGAGAACAAAAGAAAAAAATTGAAATGAAAGAAGAATATGAAAGGCCAAGTTTGATAGAATGTGAGGTTAGTACATGTATGTATGTGTGTGTGTGTGTGTGTGTGTACATTATGTTTATATTTGTATGTATAGGACACATTAGTCTGCACTATGATAAAGGCAAAGCTTGGCCTTAAACTAAGATACTGCTAAAGTTGAAGCTTAACTGCTGGGCTGGGCTAACTTAACCCCTCTGTATAAACTAAAATAGCAGTTGAGAAGTGTCGTCAAATCTAACAAAATTAATACATAATGATGTGTATGTGCATCATTTTCAGTGCGAAAAATGATGATAAGCTTATGAGAAATGTAAAAAAAATTAAAGTTTCAAAATAATTTATTAACCAATTGACTTGAAAGTAAGATGAGACAGAGTGACAGAGGCAGAGGGGGAGAGAGAGAAAAGAACTAAATCTCCATAATATATACTAATATATGATTAAATGAAAAGCTTTATTTTCTATGCTACGAAAAATTAAATTATTATTATTATTGAAAAAAAATGAATAAATTTTGCAATGAGAATTTAATGAGAAAAATTTATTGTCGTAAATAAAAATAATAGTATTAAATATAGGTTAAAATTAAATATGAAATAAAATGAAATGAAATTTGAATGTAAATAATGAAAACAATAATTTTTTTTAATCAACGATACATTTTTTTTTTTTTTTTTAAGTTTTTCATCTGTCGCTTTTTTTTTCTTTCATTCGTTCATTTTTTTTTTTTTTTATTTATTTGTTTACTTTATTTGGCTTTAGTTTATTAGTAAATAACATAATATGATGATAAAAGCAATTTATTAGAGCAGATTCTATGCAATGTCTTTTTTTCAACTGAATGATATCTCAATGGGATAAGCAAAAAGCTGTTGCTGGTAATTTCTTGGAATGTGAAAAGTGAGTAAATTTAGTTCAATTTAATTTAGGCTATCGGTTTATTGTAAATTATCAAATGTTTGCTGGAAATGCTATCATTGTTTTTTTCTTTCTTTTTTTGTATCATAGCAAAAAATAAAAATTGATGACAACATTATAATTTTATTTTAATAATTTTACAAATATTTTTTTAAAAAAAAATTATTTATATATATGATTTGTTTTTTTAAATGATTAATTCTTATTTGTTATTTAATTAATTTTTTTCTTTGCAGTCCCTAATTTTTACTTTTGGTATAATTATTTGTTTTTCTTTTTTTTTTTCCAATTTTAACTTTATTCAATGATTTTGTGGAATATGTAATAAAAGTACTTTTTTGCTGCAATAAAAAAATCAGAAATAATTGAAATGATATTACAATGCTAATTTTATGTACTAATGATAATGATAACTGATAACAATCAATCACTTTTATTTTAAAAATAAAATATCATTCATCGTTTTTCTTTTCTTTTTTTTCGATAAAATAATTTTAAGATTATATCAGCAGCACAGTTCATGTAATATTTGCTATCATTTTTAATATAATATCGAATAATTCTTAATTATAACACTAATGTAAGGATAAAAACAGATTATTATTTTTTCTTTTTTTAGTTTTTTAGTTTTTTTTTTACATTATCCTATTTGAATCACAAAATTTTGACCTTAAGTTTTTTTATTCTTAATTTTGGTTAAAATAAAAAAAATTTGGGATTATTCATTATTCGTTTCATTTTTCTTTTTTTTAACTTAAATGGGAGGAAATGCAATGGCTAGTTATATATCAAACATAAAGCGGAAGTAATTTTGGCTTAAAAAATGAAAAATATCCATAATCGACAAAGTTGTTTACGTTTGCGCTTATTTTTTCATTTTTTTTTTTTGATAAATGAAATTTTGAATGCCCTATAAGTAAATTATTGAATTTAGAAAAAGCGAGGATAACGTGAAGAATTTTTGCCTTAGCTAGATAAAAAAAAAAAAAAAAAAAAACAAAAAAAGAAGAAAGAAAAAAATACCCGAAAGTATAAATTGAATATAACTTACATAAATCACTGAAAAAAATTTTTTTTTCTTTTCATTCACTCATTTAATCTTTTGTTCAAAAATTAAATATGAATTTGCAGGCTTTATTTTTCTTTGCATATTGTAAAAAAAAAATCGAAAATACATAAAAGTGTGAATATTCTTAATTTTATGAATATTTTATGATTAGTTTATAAGCTAAAGAGTAATAAAATTAGGTTTTTTAAACTAATAAACTAATGTTTAAATTCTTAACAAAATTCTGGAATATATCATTTGCATTTATCATATCTTTAGTAATACTATTAGGAAAGTAAAGAAATCCTGAAAGATGATATATCCTAAGTGTATACCTTTTAATATCTAAAAACATATTTTGTGATTAAAAAGATTTCGTTATTTTTTGATTTAGATAATATTTGAGAACCATGTAGACTAGTTTTATTTAAGAAAAATAAAAAACAAAAGAGAGGAAGAAATGACAATAATTAAGATTAAGTGATTACATACTCTAACGTTTTTCACGATCTTTCTATTAATTTTTACATTTTATTTCTATCACGTAAAAAAGTGATTAAATAAACTTATTAAAGTAATAATATTGTTAAAATTTCTATGGAAATATTCATAAGTTTTTGGGAATTCATTGAAAATAAGAAAATAAAAAGTATTGTGGAAAATTATCTACTTGCATTTCCAGAGTTCTTTTTAAATAGTAAATATACTAATGAAATGTGAATTAAACTTTTACTAGATAAATTCAAAGTTCGTCAGTTTCTAAAATCTGGCTTAACTTATCCAAAATTTTTTTCTAAAAATTTTATAGCTTAAAAAATGTCGCTTTTTTCTAAATATATTACAGTTTCATTTCAATATTAATTAATTTAATTAATAAGAAAGAAAAAAAATTACCGAGCACGTCGAAACCATAAATACGAATAGTAGAGTAATTCAAAATAACGCGGCTGTTCCATGCCTTTTTCTTAATGATATATTAGGTAATAAGAAAATTTTTAAACTCACTTTAATTCAATTAAAATTTTAGGAATTTAAAGAAAAATTTAAAATAAAACTTTACAAAATCCAAAAAAGTCTGACTATTTCACAACTTTTCTCACTTTTTTTTTTAAACTTAGAATTTAATCGTAACAAAAAGTGAGAAATGAAGCTTGCAATAGTAGCAAGAAAGAAATGAAAATGACTAAATGGTTGCCTCTTTTTTTTTGGTGATAATAAAAGTCAGTTTTTTAATAATTTAATCTGCTAATTGCTAAATTTACATATTTCTTAATTTTGCTAATTGTTATTGAAAGTTGATGGAATTTTTTTTTTTCGCTTTTAAATAATTTCAGCAATTTCTAAAAGCTTAATATGTAAAAAGCATAGCTCATTATATCAGTGTTTTGTCATAATTAATCCTAAGTTTTAATCCTAATAAGGAAAATTTAATTAAAAAAAGGAAA